GTTGAGCACTTGAATGGAGACGCAAAGGTCGTGAAATCAATCCTCGGCATGGCACTAGCTATCAGCCTTGGACAAAGCATTAATCTACATTTGCCATTCCATGCTCATGAGACTGAGAAATGGGGACTTGGTAGGGTGTTGAAAGCCTTTATAACAGTAACTACCATGAGTATGACTTCGCGGCGGCCATTATGGTAGAAATACTCCCCATGGAGTGGAGAGGGTGCACATGCTCGAATGTATCCGATGGCAGGGGTAATAATAATATCTGTAAAACGCTTAGAGAATGTTCGTGTTAGCCGCTATTATACGGTGTATATAATACAATTATATCCAGATGTATTGTTATCATTATTTATGTCAGGAATATGAAATCAATAAGGCAGGGAAATGTCTCAGATACACATGGGTGCATTGCATAGAAGCTGAACGTGCTGATGGCATAAATACTGAACCATTATTTACTGTACCTTTGCCGAAATAACAGGGGATAATATTAGCGCCAGTGGGTGGGGGTGGGGGGGGGGGGCTGGGTGTGGATCTCAGGATAAATGACAACGGAACCAACGTAAGCCTACATGTAGTTAGCATGGAATGCGATATTTATAACTGAAAAAGTGATTCGTTTCAAGACTACTTTAGAAAAGTGATCGTGAGACGGGATCTAAGAGGGGCATTAGAGAGAGAGAGAGAGAGAGAGAGAGAGAGAGAAGGAAGAGAGAGAGAAAGGGGGTAGAATAAGATGAGAGAATGGAACATGAGTTCATTATAGCCTTTAAGGAAAGGTAGCTTGGGTGGATCGATAGATTCATTTCTACATACGTCCTCTTTTCCTACCATAGGCAAGCTCCTGATTCACGAATGGGGTCATCTTCGATGGGGGCTCTTCGATGAATACCACACGGACGACGATGGCGTCCAGAAGTTCTATGCCGACTCCCGCGGTGAGATCGTCGCCACCCGGTGCACCGACCAGCTCAATGGAGAGGCACTCAACATCAACACATTTGCTCCTTGTCAGCGTGACCGTGATACAGGCCTCTACGAAGATGATTGCTTCTACTTCCCCGATCTCGAGGGACAAACCTCGCCGGGATCCATCATGTATGCACAGTTCCTGGACTCGGTAAGCTTCTTTTATCATACCCTTGTCACGTCGACGAGACCGATATCGATAAGACCCCGTAACACAAATTGCCAACGACAATTGCAAATGACCAAAAAAAAAAAATTGCCAATCAGTATCATAGTTTTAAATTTGCAATTGATCCCAAAATGTATGTGTTACGGTGCGCAGATCTGACCCCCCCCCCTCCAAAAAAAAATGACATTGATTACCCCTATGGTCAAGAATCGGCCTGGAATCGGTTTGGTGGTGTGACTGCAGGTATAAGGACGCCTTCTATTATCGCCATCACATGTTTCTTTTTACCTCGTTTTGTTTTATTTATTCAGACCTCGCCAATTATCATATGTTATAGGCCTACCGAAAGGGATTACACTGCATTCAAGAAGAGGGTAACAAAAAAATTAGTAGCATGAAAATACTAATAAATGCAAGAGAACGTTTCGTCGAAGAATTAAATATATCTCGTCAACCATGTCGATGAAAGTCCCCTCGTGGTCAGCATCGTTAACACACGGACGTTTAGGTTGGACGTTCCAATCCTATCGTTTTAAATCATAACTATATGCATTCATGACTTCAATTCGTTTTGCAATACAGGTGACCGGATTCTGCCACAGCGATGACGGACCAGGCTACCACAACCGCGAAGCCCCAAACAAGCACAACAAACTCTGCGACAGTCGTAGCGCCTGGGACGTCATGCTCGAGACAGACGACTTCATCGACGACAACAACCCCCCGATCGAAGAAGACTTCGACACGACGCCTACATTCAGGCTGGTGCAGGCTCGAGACAGGCGAGTCGCTCTCGTACTCGATGTCAGTGGGAGTATGGGGGTAAGTATTCACTCGAAACATTTGAAAGGTGCCCCCAGATGTTCAAAGACCCGCTGAAATATAATAATAATAATAATAATAATAATAATATGAATCCAGATATAATTTTTAATCATACTTTTGAAGGGTTCAATTTTTCGCACTCATTGAAATTTATATCTTTTAAGTCGTCTTTGTATACAAAGAACTTTTACATAAACAAATTCATTTTGCACTTTTTTTAAGCAAAGGACATTGATTGATTGATTGAATTGTTTACTATTTAAAAAAAAACATGACTTGCAGCTCAAGGCTGATATTGTCTGTTTTTACAAAGTAATTCGATCTTTACATGATAATACAATCATCAAAATACAAAAACAAAATAGCAATGGTAATATTGCCTGTGTTCTTGACACTTTCCACAGATAATTCCATCAACAGTCTGGTATGACTTGGCATTCCATGTTGTCAGACATAACATTAATGTCATGAGTATTCATTCCTTAAGCATTGATTTGTAAAGGCCCCAAAGTAATATAGCTCTGCATAACTATGAAGAACTCGATTAACAACATGGCCTGGGTGGCTTGACATAACTGATCCATGAATATTTCAAATACGACGAAAACACTCGTATTCGGTAAAGATCGGGATCCACACTCGGCAAATCTGAAAAGGGCCTTGTTTTAATAGCATTTTAGCTGTAATGTATGTTCCATTTTTTATTTATATTTTTGTTCTTTCTAGGGCAATGACAGATTGACCAAACTCAACCAGGCAGCCACTCAATATCTTCGCTACACCATCGATGACGGTAGCTTCGTCGGGATAGCGCATTTCTCCGACTATTCCCGAATCATCGAGAACTTAACCGAAATCACCGATAACAGCCGTGAGGACCTCGTCATGGGACTGCCGAGTATTGCTAATGGGCCGACTTGTATTGGGTGCGGGGTATTGGACGGAATCAAAGTGAGTATGCACTATAGGCCATCAATTAGTGATTAATTGCCCATTCCCAGTTATATACTGTAAACTTCCCGACAGCTCCCTTCAAAAACATATTTAATAATTATATATAAAACATATATTTTATGTAAAATTATTGTATGGGATGGAATCCCCGTTTTCTTCCCTTTATTTAATCATTAATCTAATGGTTTCAATAATGCTGTTCTCATAATGATAACACCATCTCATACAACCCGATTCTTATGACCCGGAAGGTGTTAATTGAGTGAGGTAGTGAAAACAAAACAAAAAATAAAACAATCCGATTCTAATGACCCGGAAGGTGTTAATTGAGTGACATTTGGATGGGTAGTGAAAAAAAACAAAAAAAACAAACAATCCGATTCTAATGACCCGGAAGGTGTTAATTGAGTGATATCTGGATGGGTAGTGAAAACAAAACAAAAAATAAAACAACCCGATTCTTATGACCCGGAATGTGTTAATTGAGTGATATTTGGATGGGTAGTTAAAAAAATAAAAAATAAATAAAAACAATCCGATTCTAATGACCCGGAAGGTGTTAATTGAGTGATATTTGGATGGGTAGTGAAAACAAAACAAAAAATAAAACAATCCGATTCTAATGACCCGGAAGGTGTTAATTGAATGATATTTGGACGGGTAGTGAAAACAGAACAAAAAATAAAACAACACGATCGCAACTACTTTCGAAAAATTAATTCAAGGACAATCTCAATACCATATTCTTTCAATAAAAATCATGTTCGGATTAAAATACGTGAAACAGGCCTACAAGGCTTTAAATTTGCCTTAAGGGTTGATTTTTCGAAAGTGGTTGCGATCTAATGAATATTCTTTGTGCATTCCGGGCAAATCCATCTCGACATCCGCTCGCCATCTTCATGCCCTTCTTTCAAATAGTTGTTCAGTCTTTTCTCCTGTGCCCTGAGGGGCATTTAGCTCCCTCAATGAGGTGATTAATGCACAGAGTTGACAAAAGACTTAACTCCGTTTCGCTGACAATCAGCCGTAGACGAAAGACTTTAAGCATGGCTGATTGTCAACGAAACGGAGTTAAGTCTGTTGTCAATTATGCTTGTTGGTACGGCAGGCAGCCAGTGAAAACGAATATTCGTTTGATAAAATTATGGAAATGCAAGCACTACTTTAAACAAACAGAACTTTGTCATTCCTTGTTTATTTTTCCTGATTGAGGTGCATTATGAAAGGGCAGAAACTCAACTTTATAGAAATGTAATGTTCTTCTTGAAATTCAGATACCATCCGCCAAATAACTTTTTGGTTTCCTCTCTTCAAATTCATTTTAATCACTTGTGCGTGAAATATGCATCATATGAGTTGCATCAAATGAAAGAGGAGGATCTAAGCTTTCCAAATATGCGTCATTTATCAATTTTAATTGTGACTAAGTTATGATAAAACATCGATAATTCTTGGGACGCACTGTATAAGGCCGATAAATTAAGTCAGTGACGCAGTCCTACGTCATAAAAAATGACGCCTGGTGTGCAACTGACATAACGGATTAAACCCTATCTGATTTCCGACATAGCAATAGAAAATGATCTCTTTCTTAAGGGAACTAATGCACTGACTATATAATTGTATCAACCTTACACTGTACGGCTTCGTCATTTGCTGACATAGAGGGCTTAGAGTGAGCAAGATTGTTGAAAACATTAGATAGCTCCGTTGATATCCTAATGCCCCTTGCAGACGAGGCGTCATTTCGAATGCGTTATTAGGGACTTTTAGATTTGCACAACGACAACGTGGATTGTTACGATCGACGTCGTTTTAATGCATTGCCTTGAATGGACGTCATACGTATCAGTCCACGCAAATCTAAAAGTCCCTATTACTTACGCTAATCGACCATTGGAGGCAATTTTATTGAATTTACCAGTACTTCAAACGTGTGTACATTAATTTTACTGGTTTGGGTTTTTGTCAGATTTTGAAGGGGGAAACGGGAATGGAGGACCCGGCAGGCGGTTATATTCTCCTTATCAGTGATGGACAACAGAACCGACAGCCATACATCGACGAAGTCTTTGACGAGGTCGAAGAAGCCGGGGTCATCGTCGATACCATAGGTAAAATGTCGACTTTCCATGTACATGAAGTTGATCGAAAAAATAAAATGTCTTCAATAATGGCCACATTCAAGATCTAATATTCAAGTTTTATTGTCCATACATAGACAATTACGCCTATAAAATTGAGGAAATTCCAAAATATGTTGCATGCAATGTACACATGTACTATACACCCCCCCCCCTAATCCTAACACTAATCAATATTTTGCAAAAAGGAGGGAAACTTGCATTCCTCTCTGATTTCTGGAGAATGTTACAATTTCAGGAGTGTAAAAAATTACGTTTTGGTTTTTGTTGTTGTGGCCTGTCATGTTTTTGTTAAATATTTTAATTCCGTGATTTTCCTTAATTTACACTGTCGCTCATATAGTTGGAATATTTTTGTTTTACCCCAATTTATGGAATATATTTTAAAAATAATTAAAAAAGAATAGATCTAGATAATAGTATACATGCTTAGATTTTATTGAATAATAATTTGCCAATGTGTGTTTTGCGTGACTGCTAAAGCATGTGTATGCTACTATGCTTATCAACTAGGGGACCTACGCCCTTAAGTCATAAATGACAGTAATGAGGATTAATGCCCCACAAAAGGGCACTAATATAGCACATCAACACGGTTTTGATCCTGGGGCCTCACACATACGAGGCCACTGCTTTGTCACTAAATAATGACTGTACACAGCGGGGGCTAGGGTAGGGGGCAGTTTCCATAAATAAAAATTTTAAAAAAATGCAATACATATACTATTTATATATTTATCGCTGTTTATATTCATGGTTGAGTGGACAACAAATTGACTCTTGAATTGATTTAATTTTATCTAAGTTTTATTGTCGAAATGCAGCTTTCAGCGATGCAGCTGATCCGAACTTGCTGGAGTTATCGGTCCGAACCAACGGACTCGGTTTCTTCTACCCTGACACCGCCACCTCGACGGCTCTCAACGACGCGTTCACCGCTACCGTCTCGACAAGACCCGGCCTCAGCACAGAGACTTTACCCATTCAGGTACAGGCCTGTAATGATAAATGGAGACCCAAAACACAAATCTGACAAACCTCGGGGGCGGATCCAGTATTATCTGAAAGGGTAGGGGTGAAATTTATTTCGAGGTAAAATGTAAAGAAAGAAAAGAAAAGGTTCTCACATAATAAAAGCGTTTCAGTTCTTAATTTCATGATCAAAAAAACAAAACAAAACAAAAATCGAAAACAAACAAACAAATAGACAAGCAAAAAAGAACACAACAACAACAACAACCACCATATTTAAGTTTTCACGCAACACAGTATTTATCGAAGAAAAAGAAGGTGTTTTTAATCTCTCAACATAGGTGCCTCGAGCTCCTTACACCAGGCGCGGATCCAGGATTTCTTAGGGGAGGGGGCCCAACTTTTTTTTTTTTTTTGCTCCCGAAAATTTGAAAATCGCGCCGGCCGAAAAGTCGCTCAGTGGGGGGGGGGGGGGGGGGGGGCGGGGGTACAGAGCACAATTTTTTTATTTTTTTTTTTTATTTATTTATTTATTTTTTTTGCTCCCGAAAATTTGAAAAACGCGCCGGCCAAAAAATCGCTCAGTGGGGGGGGGGGGGGGGGGGGGGGGGGGGGGGGGGGGGGGGGGGGGGGGGGGGGGGGGGGGGGGGGGGGGTAGTGAGCACTTTTTTTTTTTTTGATCCTCAAAAAAATTTCAATTTGCACCCCCCCCTTGAGCGCCAGGGGGGGGGGCCCAACCCCCCAAAATCGTAAAAATCACGTGATTTTACATGATTTTTTTCTCAAGGGGGTGGGCCCGGGCCCCCGGGCCCCCCCCCTGGATCCGCCACTGCCTTACACACCCCCGGACTCGCCTTTGAATCCCTTCCTAATATATGGTATTAGAAATAATCCATTTATTATATAGAAATACCTGAAAATTAACTTAAATAGTACAAAAGATAACAAGAACAAGAAAACAGCAAATATTTGAGTGTGTAATCAAGAGAAATGTATATATTCCCATGAGACCCCCCCCCCCCCTCAAAGGAGAAAATAACAAATCATCATGAAAGAAGAAGAAAAAAAAATCTTTGAATTCTCAGTTATATAGCGGGGCCCTGGAAATCCCCGCCGACGGCTCCGTAGATGACACCTTTCTCATCGATTCTACATTGGGCGTGGACACAGTACTCACCTTCTCCTGGCTCGATGACCCCATCAATGTGGTGGTCACGGACCCTACTGGCGCCGTCATCGACCGTACCGACGCTACACAGTACAACAGAGATAATACATCTCAAATCATCGCCGTGATCATCAAAGAAACGGCCAAGGTAAGGACAGTTACTCTGTTACATGGTCGCAAGTTAAACGCTCCTCAAACGTAGGGAAACACACAAGTAGGGGTAGATGCAGGCAATTAAAAAAAAAATCCATCAAAGGCGCTGCATAATTTCCAACCGTGAAACTGAACATCAGTTTAATGGTATAATTCCAAATTCATTTCATTCTCATAAAGACTTCGGGAAAACTTTCGTCAGCAACATGTTTGTTACGTAAATTACAGTTTCAAATTCATCTAACTCGGGGTTGGGGTGAGGGAGGGGAGGGATAAATGAAGAGATGGCTCCGTGCATTGTAAACCCTTAAATATTTGGAGGAGGAGCAGAAAGGTGTGGGAGAGATGGGGTGCAGAGAGAAGCGCAGAATGAACATTAATTTTGTTTTTTGAAAAACAGACAGGACTTTGGAGGTTCTCTGTGGACAGCGATTCTGACGAGAAGGAGACCGTACTGGTTACCATAGAATCCAAACCTACGTCACAAACCGATGCACCAATCACAGTCAACGCCATCGTTGGATCACAGGTATTAATCCATATTAATCACCGGCGGATCCGGGATTAAGTAAAAGGGCTGGGGGCAGACTCAATATTCAAGGGAGAACATTGTTTTATGTTTGAACCAATAAAACGAGCAAGGGCCGACTGTATCCCCTAAATCCGACACTGTACTAAATCAACATATCTCACCCCATGCACTATGAAATGAATAATCTTTTAAACCCAAGAAAAATCACCCTTCATCAATATTTAATGAATTTGACTCAGTTTATTATTAAGTTATCGACGTTGGAGATCTTATTTTAAAGTATAACATTTCTAGAATTCACTTTATACATTTGAGGAAAGTTAATTGATCGGCAGCTATTATATAACTTGACATTAGTTTGTTTCCCCTCCCCCGTTTTAGACCATAGACCACACTGTGACACCAAGCCTCGAGATTTTCGCCGAAGTTCGAAAAGGCTACCTACCTGTCGTGAATGCCGGTGTTCAGGCCGTGATAGAAAGCCCAGGGGCAGCTACCACGTATCTTCCACTTTTTGATAATGGCGCAGGTAAATGAAAGTTGTATGCATGCGGCATACAAGAAAGCAATAATTAAACGCCAGTTTAATCTGTATCGCTGCTTTCAATGTTTATACGATAGCATCACGAATGACGCCTCGTGGACAGCGGAACCAGTGCATATCAAGGAGGAAATATCTGTAAAAGTTATATATTTTTAGCAGGTGCCATTTTTTGTTAAAGTTCTAAGGAGGGTGAGGGCGCGGGGGGGGGGGGGGGGGGGCAAAAAACACAAGATTAGGGGCTCATTTTCATTTTGTCCCGGCATTTTGTAAACCATAAGTATGTCACACCAGGGGTGTTTCTGCCCCTGAAACCGCAAGTGGTAAGAAAAATACACCTAAAGCTACTTATTTTCACGTTCACAGGTGCTGACATTACCAAGAATGATGGCGTCTATTCGGCCTACTTCTTACAATTTGACAACAATGGACGATACAGCATTAAGGTACAGGTGAACAACGAAGACTCAACGGCGTCAATCAGTTCGAGATCGAAGAGGAGTTCGAGAGGTCTTCCGTTATCTCCGGGTAAGTACTCATGTGGGCGTCTCTGGGTTCACTCCAAGGGTGCGGAGAAATGTTCCGACTCTATCAATATGTCGACATGAATACTATATTTTCACTGTGGCGACAACAAAATCAATATCTATTATTGTAATCCTTTGAATGGATTATGAATAAACAAGAATAAAAACAGTAAAGTTATCTATAAATAATGCTTAAGATATGCAGAATAATCAGCAGTGCAAAATTGGTTTATTGTGAGAATTTTATGTTCCTGATTTTGCTTTTTCATGCAAACTCTTATCATCACAGATCGATACACTCCTTCTCCGGCGACATACGAGCCCGCCGAGCCTTTCGCTCGGACGGGGTCAGGCGGCGTGTTTGAGGTCGAGAATTTCGTTGCTCCCACCGGTGATGAGCTCGCTCCGTCACGAATCACCGATCTCGGTGTTATTGCTACGAGTTACGACAATGCAAGCGTGACGCTGCAGTGGACAGCGGTGGGCGATGACTACGACCAGGGCACAGGTGATTATTTCTTATTTCTTTCATATTTTTTTTTCAGGATAACTTTTTCTTCAAAAGAGTACATGTACTAAAAACATCTCCCTCCTGGAGATTTAATATTCTTTTATGTCCTATGAATATAATTTCAAGGGTCACTTTGCTATACATACATTATAGTTACATGGAAAGTAAGACTTCGATACAATCAACCAAATCGTATAATGTGTTATATTTTGTTGATAAACATACATATTGATTCCAATGATGTTTGTAATTGTGAAACAATTACATGGACATAATATTTGGCATACGGATACATCTATATAGGATAAAAATCGACAGCGCTCCAACCTACAGTATAGGCTTAGCCTATATAGCTAGGCTACCAAGAGATTACGGAAGTTTAATGTTAAAGTTTGGTCTCCTTTTCTAACAAATTTGGATCCGCCTCTGTTGTGTTCACACATACATTACTACGGATTAGAGCAACTCTTTTTATCGTCTTTCTGCACCATATCAGAGCCAACTCAGAACACCTCAAACAAACAACCAACCAACCACAACACAACTCAAACACCAACACCACTACATCTAATAATCGTATCACCTTGCTTTTCCTCAATCAATTCCTTAAGCTTCTTACTACGACCTCCGCTACGCAACAACATTCGACAGCCTACGAGAAAACTTCACCACCAGCGACCCGTTCATGGATCACCAGATCATAGCGGGCAATCTCTCTACGGTTGGGACGTCGGGTGTCGTTGAGTCGCTGGTCGTAGAATTACCTGCACGAGGGGATAAAGTGGTGTACTTCTTTGGCATCGTTGCAATAGACGAAGCAGGGAATGCGGGAGATCTTTCCAACTTGGTGTCGGCCTCCCTGGAATATGTGGCGCCGATAACTACGGAGTCTATGATGACGACGGACCCTGAAGCGACCACGGCTAACCCAGTGGAGCCGAATTCCGGTCTCGAACCATGGGTGATAGGCGTGATCACGGCAGCTTCCGTCGTACTCGCCATCGCCGTCGGTCTGGTAGTCGTCATGGTATGCAAGATGAGCTCCTCGTCAAAGAAGAAAGTGGATACTAACTACAACGGAGCTTCATACAACGAGCATGCAACCAAATCAGTCTCGGAGTACGATAACAACGCCTACTTGGCATAGATATATTTCACATTGTATTTATGACTTGTAAGCGTATGATTCATACATTCCATTTCTTGTAGACACCCGATATAGTTGTAAGTTCATAGAGTATTGTATGTATTGTCATTCTTTTCACAAAATAAATTCATTGAAGTAAAATATCAACGTAATCTAAATTATCTGAGAAATTTGTGTTGTTGTTAATATCTTCGTCGCATTATAAATGAGTTTGATTTTAATGTGGACCCTGCTAAAATCAACCTTTATCTGCTTGTACTTATGATGTACGTTACAAAATATACTAAGAAAAACAAACAAAACATGCCACCAAATCAACTTCAACATCATAAGATCTATAGAGCCAGAGATATTTTATTCAAAAAGTATTTTATTTATCATTTTGAAGAAGAAAACAAAAATCGATAACCGTGATGTTTAATAAAATAAGCTTGGGTGCAAGATAGGGAAAGGTGGGGCGATGACAAATATACATCAGAGAGGTACTCATGTGGAGTGGGGAGGTAAGATCTACAAACAATATCTGAAGCAATTAATGTTGGACGTTTTTGTCAGTATATTGTTGAGATTTATAATCGTATAGAACCTGTAGAATATTGTTTTGGTTTAAAGATTTTCGTAGCAAAAATCGTTTCATATTTTAACCACGACTCTATTCACAGATAGTCATACAAAAAGTTCTGTACCTGAAAAGTACTGTATACCTGTCTTGAGCTTCCATATTCTTGTTACGATATTTCCATACAGTAAAAGTACATGTGATGACTAATAATTGGATACTAATATGTGTTTTAAAAATGCCCCGTTTACTTTTGCACGCATTTTGTTCCTGCACTGCCCCGCAGTACAATATAAAAAGGTCATGAAATTTATCCTGATGTATAGAATACATTAATATAATATCCAGGTATTTTGTTTTACGCTGTGGTCGAAAATGATAAACATGATTCGTAAAGAGAATAGAAAATCATGAGATCATTAAATTATTATTTCCTGTGTATTCTTTTGAGCGTAAATTAACGGGCGAAGTTGTAACAAAATATTTGATATCAAGAATGAAATACTTCAACGTATAAAGGTATTGCAGTTTAACTTATTTTGTAAGTGTGGCTCATATGGCTGTCATCATTTGCTTTGTGACCAGTTACATTTTCCCCCTATATTAAAACACATGATTTGAAGAGGTAGACTTTGTGCTCTAAGAAAAAAATCAAATATAAACCTTACGAAAGCTTATGCACAACGTAAACATTGCTTCACTTAGCTTGTATACAGTACTGACGATCTGAATATTATAGGGCGGATCTAGGATTTTGTAAATGGTTGCAATCATTTCCAAAATTCCAAACAAGAAAAAAAAGGGGGGAGGGGTGGGTTCCGGACCTCTGTGATCTCGTCCCCCCACTCCCCTCCCCAGATCCACCCCTGTTATAAATCTGGAATGACTTTGAACCTGGTGGAAGCTTGATGGAAGCACAGGAACTTTTTGTATAATGAAGTAAGAGCACAATGCACCGTATACTATGTCTTCATCCATTAGTAAGTCTATAAAGTACTGTTTTTAACTGCGCAAAAAGAACGATAAGTACAATTATCATGGAAAAAAACATTCGAAATTGAAATAAAACTGTCTAAAGATTGAAGTAAACATGGAAACAAAATACATAAATAAAAATAAAACCTGTAGAAATGTAAAATATTTAAATTATTATTCAATCTTATCTACTTGAAAATTAGAAATCACGTCATTAATGAAGAGCCGTTCACGTCGAGCTTATGTACACCTATGATTGACTGTTTTAATGTATCATTGCTTTCTTAACTAAACGTATCGTATAGTATACTACCCGAGTTCTGAACTGGTTATACCAGCAGCTCTCAATGTCTCTAATTATATATTAGCTGTCGAAATTTTGACTGATAAGAAGTAGAAAATAGAGTTAGTTCACATAATTATTATTATTATTTATTATTATAATAAAACGGAAACTCATATTATTCAGCTGAAAGACGCATCGGCACTTCATCACAGTTGACGAGTAGATTTTTTAAAAGTAGATTTTACGACATTCTAACAATGAAACAATATTCACAAAGTAACGCTTTGAATATTTGGATGTGTTTTTCGCTTTTCTCTTTTCGCTTTATTGTGTTGTGTTTCTGATTTTTACTCTTTTGTTGTTCAAAATAAAGACCATAATGTGCGTGTGTATCGCAGAACATAACAGCACATAATCTAGAATCACATTTGTCATTTCGACATGTTCCTTTTCTTTGGTATATACGAGGGCATCGTTTCACGAAACCGTCATAGATATAAGTTCGCCGACACCCTATTGAACTTACATCTCAGTGCATGGGATGTCGACGGACTTGTATCTACGACGGTTTTGTACAATAATGCCCAGGTGTTTATAAGATTGTTGTCGCAAGAGTAAGATGTTGTTAAAAGCAAAGTGTGATGCATATTCAATATCACCTTGTTGTTATGTTATTTGCCGAATAGCGACATCCTATTGATGTTTAAAAGTTGCTTTTATAATTATTTTTTGTAGCATAAAACATGTTTGACGAAATTTTGCACTCCTCAACATCCACATAATTTACGTTTCTTAGGGTGTACATTGTTTTTAGCTTGTGATTTATTTTCTATCAAAATTGGCCGAAACGAGTAGTTTAATTATAAATAAATGTAAAAAAAGCTGTCAATATTTCCAATTCACAGTAAAAAAGTTTTTAAAAAAAGTTAACAATCACTACACGTGTATGATTATACCAACACCTACAATATAACACACTCTGTTGGGCGTGCCGTTCTATATAACACGGATTGTTCTGCCCAAAGTAAAAGGGAAATTCAACTATACTATACCAAAGTGTTTTTAAAGAAAGCAGAACATCAAAGAAGCAGATTGATGAAAGTTTGAAAGAAACCGGACAGAAAATTAGAAAGTTATGACATATTGAAGAAAGTTGTAATCACGAAACATTATGGAAAGGCCAAATTGGTTAAATCGGTGATGTGACTGTGATGTTAATAATTATACGGTAGTGCCGGAAAACTCCCCCACTTTTTACAACCCTCAAAATGACTAGAAGTACATTTTATTTGCTCAAAATGTTTTACTCAGGACGATCTTTCCTTTTTAGAAGTAGACCCATAACAATAAGCTATCCATTATATATTTTAAGTAGTGTCGTGAAAGAGGAAGCTCTTAGTACATGAAGAAGATAACCACAAATTAGTATTTTGAAACAAAACAAACAGGCCATCGTCTGGCAAACTTGGAATACGCATATAGAGATGTAATGATCACATATTTCAAACATTCATAACTTTCTCATTTTTTGTCAAATTTGTTTCAAACTTTTGCCATTCTGTTTTTTCTTTGTTCTGCTTTAACGGAATGAAGTTGCTGGTATCTCTTTGCGGGTTGGAAAGCTGGTTTCTCTTGGTTCAGATATGCGCTGGTAAACCGCGGCGTTTTTTAAAATGTTAATGATGACGTAAGTGCAATACGCGTTTCTGTATGTTATATCACATAGCTCGATTTAGTTTAGTTTAAATTAGTTTAGTTTATTGAAATTTAACGACCTTCATGGGGTATGGGAGTAGAATATACAGAGATTTGAAATTGTTAATTTTATATACACCAAACAAAATGGTAATACACGAATATAATATTTTTACAAACTTTTTAAAATAATTATAAAAGGTTATAAGTTGGTTGGGTGGCTGGTCTGTTTTACCTGACTGCTAAGAGATCACGTGCATGCTTGTAAGTAAACAACCAGGAGACCGACGGCTTGAAGTCCTCTGCGAGGGACTTGGCAATGAGGGTTAATGCCTTGCCAAAGGGCACTAGCGCGTCACTTGTAATAAAAATAATGATAACAGTTATAAATTAATGGACATTAATTTTGTTGTGCGCAGATGACATTTATTTAGATGTAAAAAAATGGGGCGGATTTTAGTTTTCGTTTTGATTTATATTTGCGGCGGTTTACCAAGTCATATCTGAACTAATCATATACGTGTTTAGAGACAAGCTTCTGATTCTTTGATGGCGCTATTGGTTGAGCTTGTAACCTCATCTGTGAAATGAAAAGAGAAACACACTATTAAATAAAGTCGGAATAACTTCATCTTACCTCTGTCCATTAAAAGAATCTGAGAATTTTATTAATTTGATATAGATAAAAAATCTAAATCTTCTCCCAACATTATTGATCAGTAAACATGTGTCGATAAACTCATCTGTCAAGAATAAATCAGATTGTCAGAATCATTTCATGAACACAGGTAAGAAAAATGATGATAAATTTGTAATTATGTATAAGACAACTATCAACATGCATGAACACATAATAGAATTGGTTACTGGAAGAATAATATGAGCAGAAATCGAATCTGGGACGATCATAATAAATGATTGTTCTCGATTACATCCCAGTCATACCAATGAGACCAATGAGACCTATGGGCCATTTTCTCGAAACCGTCGTTATTCTAAGTTCATGAACATCCCATTGAAATGCGTGTTAGTTCAACAATACGCTTTTCTTTGGGATGTCCAAGAACTTAGACTGATGGTGGTTTCGAGAAGCCTGCCCTAGTTAGATTTTGTCGATATTTGGACTTTGTTTGGAGTTAGTCCGTTAGCACAAATTGGCGTAACGACCTGGTACTAAATCTACTCATCCTGATGAGACCATCACCATAAATAAATAAACAAACGAACAAACGCCTAATATCACCACTTATGGTAATAGCTTATGCATGTAGTGCTTAACATAATAACTCAATCAGACATCACTGGGGATGAAATTAGCCTAAAGTCTAAAAATAGCTTACATCCATGATAAAGCATAGGATGTAATGTTTTGTAATGGGATCTTTGCATTTATGGTGGAATAGTTTTCTAACGAAAAAAGATTGAAAAGCAAAAGGACATTTATTTTAAGATGCTGTTATTATTTTCTAATTTTTGTCTCGTCCCTGCCACTTCTTCCCTCCGCATTACATATTGGTATTATACTGATCTGCAAATTCAATCTTTATTACATGTACATGGAATATCCTGATTTTTGTCCTGAAATTTATCAGAAATTTACCTTCAAGTTTATCCATCAGTTCTACTTGTTTTACCAGTCCATGTTTCATCAGGATTGCTCTCAGTTTGGTATATTCTTCGGTACTTGCTCCGTTCTCGTTTCTCCACCGAATCATACACTTGAACAGGGCGTCAGCGTACGATGGTGCAGTAAGCCCAATATGGTACTGGACTTTTGCGGCGTTTTTCAATAGTCGTGTGCCCAACTTGGTGTAATAAGACAGACAGTCTATCTTTTCGACCAAATCGTACAGGAATTTATCGTTACTCAAACAGTTTGTGCTCCCATCCTTCTGCCGTTCTGAAAAAAAAGAATAACGAATTTAATGATTATATGTAAAGACACATAATGGCACCGAAAGAAGACTGTAGCTCAGCTCTGCATCATCATCATCATCATCAACAACTTCAGGTGGCGCTGTAAAGCGCTGCTGTGGCCTTCACGAGAGCACGCAATGCAAAGTGACCTGCCATTTGTGTTGCACCTTTCATTCCTTGTCCAGACACTTTATTGATATCATCAGTCCAAGATATTGGTGGACGACCTCTACCCCGTTTTCCTTCGACTGCTCCTTGCAGTATTTGATGCTCAATACCTTCAGATCTCCTAACGATGTGCCCAAAATAGTTAAGTTTTCTTTCTATGATTCCCCTTCTGATGGTCAAGTCTGTTCCAATCTTTTCCAGGACCCACACATTTGTCTTTTTATCTTTCCATGACACCTGCAACAGCCTCCTGTAGCACCACATTTCAAAGGCATCAACTCTCTTTCTGTTATTCTTTGTCATGGCCCAGGACGCACTTCAGTAAGTAGCAACAAAGAAAGAAGTTGCTTGAAGCAGACGGACCTTCAGACTGAGAGATAGGCCTCGGCTCTTCCAGATATTCTGTACTGTTGATCTGCATGCATGAATCAAAATGCTTGCTTATGCCCTCAGTCATATTTAACCCGGCCTCGGGCGATGGTACCCGATTTTGGGGCATCGTGCGAGGGCGGAAAAAAAAATCTCCACCCCCCCCCCCCCCCCCCCCCCCCCCCGCATTCATGTCCCCAAAATCTCCGGTAAAGGGGTACCTTTCACACAACAAAGTCCGGCTCGTAATACACGCAAAATCGGTTATTCTCGGTTTCTTTTTTCTGGGATACACTGTATATAAACCCCTCAAAGTTTGGAAACTCGAATTTCATTGATTGTATCTCTCGTGTCATGGCATAATCATCGCTTTGTTCGGTTTCATTAGATGATGTATTTATTTTGCTTTGAAATGATATCATATTGTATAGTATGTTTGTAAGTTTGCCATGGAGTGAGCAGTACATCAGAATACGGGGCAAGGTAAAGAGTGAAAAGTTACAAAATGCACTGGTAAGCACTGGTATTGTTTGCAAAGCAGCCTTTTTTCTTTGACATAAGAGCTAGAGTGTGATTTTGGTAAATGACACTGCCTTTTGTTCCCAACTGATAATCCATGAATGTCAAAATCTAAAAAAATCCGAAAATGAAATGAAATATTATGCACTATGGTGACATGTCGGGCAATATTCGCTACAGTTTTTCGTCATTAACTTTCCTAAGCATGATATGCCTCTCTCTCTCTCTCTCTCTCTCCATATATATATATATATATATATATAGCGGGTTGACAAAATGTTCAACAGGCCTGAATAGTGAATAGGCAACTGGAAGCTGGTGTTTTCCAAAAAGATGTTCTAGCATTTTAAAATACTCGGTTTTTTCTTAATATTTTTTGTCTTCTTCAAACAGAGTTGAACTCATGTGAAATGAAGGGTTTTGCATCTTTGTTTAAACGATAAGGCATCATGATTGTTTTAGTGCTTGCATGTTTTTTGGACTTCATTTACGTTTGTTTCAGTGCATGCACGGTGTGTACCTGTATGTTGTTCATGGAAGGTCAACTGGAAGCAAAGCAGCCCTACACACTCTTCAAAGAAGTATTGCACAGTCGAAAGAGAGCCGTGTATTTTGCAACTTTACACTTTTTTAATTGCCGTTATTTGATTGTACTGTACGTTCCAGGGGCGGCCGAGCGACTCCCAAAGTGTGGGGGGCACCAATAAAAAAGGGCACTTTCTGGAGAAAAAAGGGCACCTACAAAGGGAAATCTCAAAGCGAAAATATACAATTTTTTTGACATTGGTATATACCCCTACATTGTGAATACAATTATCAGGGATGATTCTTTTCACTTGATACACCATACAACATATTGCTTAAGCATCATGCTTTGCAGTTGGGTTTGATTGTTTAAAACATTGTTTGCGAGCGAGCGAGTAAAGATTTTAAGATGTGTGAGGTCGCAGTGCGAAAAATTACATCTTATAAGGAGGAAAAAAACCCAATCCTAATGGGGTTATAAGCACATTCTCATAACGGAAGACTGAAAAGACCTTTGATAGTATCATAAGTATATCATCTATAGATGCGTGCGAGCGTATCGAGCTAGCTTTTGGGGGAAATTGCTCTCAGTCGCTTGAAATTAGCTAGGGCGCGTTTAATGATGAAAGGAAAATGGGACATTTATCAGGAAAGAAAAGGAGCATGTGCCAAGGTACAAAGAGTAATTATCAGAGGTAAAAATGGGGTACTTCTTACACCCTCAAAAAAGAGGCAATCACCAAGAATGGAAAAAGTCAGTCATCAGAATAGGAAATGGGCATTTGTCGACGGAAAAGGGGCCCCCATCAGATTTTGATAGGGGCATTTATAAGATATTATTATATATTGTTAAAAGGGAAATTATCAGAGGTGAAAAGAGGCACTTATCGCACCTGAAAAGAGGCGTTGAACAGATATGAAAAGGGGCATTTATGTGAATGAAAAAGGGGCACTTGTAATAAAGGAAAATATGCAATAGTTAGGAGAAAATGGGCACCGATCAGATTTTAAAGGGGCATTTATCGGAGGTGAAGGGGCACTTATGAGAAGGGGAAGGGGATCTTTTTTCTTAATCGGGCAATTATCATTAGGAAAAGCGGCACTTATTAGAAAGGGCACATGTGAAAATATAAGGTGCGCTTATCCGAATTAAAATGGGGGTAGTTATTAAAAGGGGAAGAGGCACTTCTTTCAAAGGAAAAGGATCACTTGTCAAAGTAAAAGAGGCACGTACCTCTCAGATTTAAATAGTAAAATTATCAGAGGTGAAGGGGGCACTTATCAAAAGTAAAAAAAAAAGGCACTTCTCGTACCTAACTAGGGGCACTTACTAGAGATTAAAAAGGCACTGACGAGAATAGAAAATGGACACTAATTGCAAAGGAAAATAGGAACTTGTCGAAGGAAAAGGAGCACGCTGTCCAAATAAAAGGGGCACTTATCAGAGCTGAAAAGGGGAAGGGGCACTTTTACAAAGTAAAAGGGGCTCTATTCCTGTGTAAAAAGGGGCAATTCTTAAAAAGTTTAAGGGGCACTTTTCCTATGTAAAAGGGGGCACTTTTGGGGTGCTTGAAAAAGTGGGGAGGGGGGACTGTACCCCCTTGTCCCCCCCCCCCTCCGGAGGGCCGCCTCTGGTAAGTTCCATGAATACACAATCATAACAATATCTCCTCTCGTCGCCTATATTAAAACGCTCTTCACATCCAGAGCCATCTTTTTAAAGGTAAAGACCAGTTATGGTCATGCGATTGCATTGTGAAAGAAACGTTGTGGAATCGATCAGAAAAGGTTGATCATCTAGCATCTAGCATCTGCAAGGTTCTGGAATCATCAAAATGATAAGAAATTTTGCCCATTCTTCGTAAAGTTACAAGCACTATACACAGAAAGATGTATATGGGACTACCCTATATCTCTCACAGACCATGAGAGAAACAAATTGAACAAATATATGAATTAGTAGGCGGTTTCCCGGCAAATCATGTATTAGTCAAAACATATTCTTTCACATGATTGGTAATGAGAGCTTCCATTTCACTTTTTGAAATTGGGGCGTTTCCAATACTGGTCTTTACCTTTAACACTCCACTCTGTCGTGAGCGACAATTCACGGTTGTTCGACTGCTTAATTCACCTTGAATATTTGAACTCATACTAGAAAGATCAAGTGAACAAAACAATGTCTATATGCTTATGTTTCCACTTGCATTTTCATTTATTAAATTGCTATTCTTGTATTTCTTCTTCAATGTGCAATATCAAAGCAAAACTGAACCAGAGAAAATAATGATTCATTAATGTGGAGTAACCTACTTATACGTGTTGATATTTGGTTTTGTCCATGTTATCATTACAACTTTACTATCAATATATTTTTCCATTCAAGTTTTATTCATGTTTAATTTTCAGGTACGTATGTGAAATACCTTGTTTGAGCTAAATGAGCAAATTGAAGAGTAAATATAACCACAGTCACTTTTGCAATCTGCTTGTTAGGGGACGTTAACTCATATACCTGAATGCATAGTTAACACCCTAATGATGATTAATCCATGACAAAAGAGATATAATCGATCATACAATTTTGAAATGATTTTTCAACTGTTTTTGTATTGGGAAAGATATAATTATTCAATTGATTTATATCATGGTATGATTATATATGTATTTTAACTTTTTTAATATTATACAATTTATGTACCTAGATTGTATATTATTTTATACTGTGTTGAAAAATGCAGAAATAAAATCAATCAAACAAAGTTTCCAAACTTTTTTGAGATGCTTATAATAATGTTGTTATAAAATTAGGAGTCTGCTTCCGAATACTTCGGAAAATATGGCAAGTCGAAAATATATAAATAATTCAGTTAAACGTCTGAAACTGCAAATGTTCTCTATTCTCTGAGATTATTAGCTAGTCTACTAATGACTAAGATTTTTTTGTTTGTATCATTATTAAATTTGTTCCAACGGGACCAACGTTGACTAGCTTTTTTGTTGTTGTTTTGGTAATACATTTTGGTAATTGATACAGGAAATAAATTAAGGAATAACAAAAGAAATAATAACAAGGGGGGAGAAAAACAGACAGGGAAAAGGCTGAAGAAAAGTAAGAAAGAATTTTTAAAAGTGTCAAAAATCATTTAGTTAAAAGGGAAATGAACAACATTTACCTTTCTTAAGAAGGGCCAGTGCATCCTCTAGCCCAAGTTCCTCAAAAATCTCCATCAATGTTTCCTCGCACCCCGTGCCCTGTTCGTTACGCCATGTATACAAACACTGAAACATGGCGTCTTCAAAGTGTGGTATTGGTTTCCCCAACACATTGGAAACATCCGCTGCGTTTCCTAAAAGATCGAGACCGAGGCGGACATAGTATATGACTGCATCGATGCTTTCACTCACTTTGTTAATGAGTGAATCGTCGTCGAGTACTTTCGAGTACGTTGGTGCCATGCTGGAAGCAAGTTAGTCCTACTTTTCTGGAAAGAAATGCATTATTGATAACTTTTATTATAAACGAAGAACGAAAAAACGTATAGAGGTAATAAGTTAGACGTTCATTCGGTCAAGCAGGGGCGGAGGGAGCCGGGGGGGGGGGGGGGGGTGCTCACCAATCCACCCACTTATTCGGCCGGTCGGCTGAGTCGTCGCTAAATATTTTCTCACGAATTGGGCCGCCGGCTGGATCCGCCCCTGCGGTCAATGCATTGAGGGCTGTCATTTCACACCAGATTGCAATTCAATATGTTTAAATATAAAGAAAACAAAAGTTGACAAGTGAATTTTACATGAAAACGATAACATTAAATTCATGACATCAGCTTTGATTTTTGGAAACGCAGTGTTACTTCACACTATTCTGCAGGTGGCCGCAATGACTGTTCAGCGCTCGTTTCAGAACACGAGGTTCTGGACTCGGCTTACCTGTAAAAAAGCAGGGGAATTCCCCGGCCCTTGCTTTGTTGTTCGGAACTTTTTATGATACTGCATATATTATTCTGTATGAAACAACACATTCCGGGAATACATAATATACACGCAGATCTGTCACTTAAATTAATAACTCTGATAACAATTTGACTATATAGAACATTAATCTGCAATTTAAAAGACAATGTCTGATTGACTCACCAGTGAATCGGAGCAACAACGAGTAATACACCATGAATCTAACACAAACGATATACCAAAGATAGTAAAAACATATTTATGTATTCACGAGTGGAAATCCCCCGGGAAATCCCCATTTCGTTTCAATTCCTCGAAACGGTCTGTCGCTCAAACGTTAGCGTGTGTTTGTTTAAAGAAGTCATCAAGAGAACATGGGCGGATCTGGGGGGGGGGGGGGTTCGGCGGTTTACCCCCCCCCCCCCTTGGCAAAAAGCTGGATCCGCCCCTGGAGAATCAAGCTGATCCGATGCTCATATATTAAATTATTTTTGTTGAAGTCAATATATAGCTATAGGTCGGAAACGTTTAAGTATTACCACAACAAGCTTCTAATTTCCTAATTCCCATAGGCTTCATACAGGGATTACCTGGTTCCCGTGACGATGACAGACTGATAATATTTTATTCTACAAGACCCAGTGGCGTATTGAGCACTTCAAAACTTTTTTGGGAGGGGGGGGGGGGGCAGAAAAAACATCCGCGTCACAAAAAAGGATAACTTACAAAAAAAAACTGAGAAAAAACCCTGGGAAATCATGTCAATTCAAGCTTTCGACAACGTTTGTAAATCACTGATGTCAATTTAGAAACGAACCACGTTTGATTTTTTTTTGGGGGGGGGGGTGGGGTGGGGATGGGGGCAACTGCCTCCCCAAAATACGTCTTTTACAATGCTTGTAATGTAATTCAATTTACTTTTTGAAATAATCTCCGGAAAAGCAACCTCATGTCGTAATATACCATAACATTGAGCTAAAATCGCCAAAGTTGGGACTCAAGTTGGCCATGGTTACTCTTGTTGGATAATGTTAGTACATGCACAGCTGACTCGTGTAAGTATGACCGTTTAATTCGCTTGTATATGAAAAGTGTTAATACGGACCTCTGAAGATGATTAAAAACTTTAAGACCCATTCCAATTACACTAATAATATAACAATTATAATTTTGTTTTCTCAGGGAAGTCTGATGAGGACCCTGCATGCAATTACCATTGCCCTAGCAATTGCCAGGTACCCATTTCCCGGATCCATTTACACCTGGGTGGAGAGTACGTGGCAAATATGAATTGATATCTTGCCCCAAGGACGTTATAGGGCCGGGCTGAATTCGAACCCTCAACCCTTGGATTGAGAGCCAAGTGAATTTAAACTCCTAGTATATACCACGACACCTCTAAATTTATTCAGGTAGCGCATCAATATCAATAATTATAATGATAATATCATAGTAATAATAATTATGATGATGATAATAATACTGATTATGTTTGAAGGTTTGCATGGTGGTATGAATAATCACGGTAGAGGTTTACGGTACACCATGTGTAAAGTCCTAGAAGGACTAAGGAAAGTGGATAGAAAATAGAAGTGAAAATAGAAAAGGCGAGAAAGTGGAGATTGGAAGGAAGAGTATCTTTCAGAAGTGAGTATAGTCCTGAAAAGGACTGTAAACCAGAAAGTTGTAGATAGGATGAGAGGTTTGAGTAAAAGACTGGATTGAGTTGGAGAGTTGAGTAGAGTTGCAGAGCAGGAGCAGGAGAGTAGACTCGACGTTTCGGACAGGTTGACTGTCCGTCTTCAGGAGTGAGATACTGATTATGTTGATGATGACGATGATGACTATTCCTAATAATAATAACAATACTGATAATAATAATAATGATAATAAAAAAAAAAGAGTTTTGAATATTTATAGAAAACTTAGGATGACAATGAATGGCGACTTTCAATAAATCCCAATGTCTGAGAGCGGGAAGGGTAAACATCGATGAAATTTGGCATTCTTGAAGACCTATCGATCGGTTCCACCCATTCGTTTAAAGATTCATTATAATTGTTCCGTTTTCAATTATAGTAACATGACCAAAAGTAATCATCATAATATGTGAACTTCAATGGAAGTTTATACATATCAAATAAAAAGAAGGGGGACCTTCAACTCCACCCCCTCCCCCATGCACGTGCTCAATGTAGATAGGGAAATTAAATCATTATGTTCTAAATCGGAATCCAAAGCTTGCGAGGTCTAGGCTATATATGGACAATGTGGATTATGGAGTTATATAGGACTGATGATATCAATAAGCTTTGTGATAGGCCTAACCGCCTAACCACTGATGAAAAAGGGAAAAGAAAGGAGCTAGGACAAATTACAATAAAAAAGACTGTGACTCCAGCTATAGGGAACTAATATTAATAAGGGGTATAAATAGAGAAGATACTTCCCCTACTTCTCAACGTCCGATCACACCCAAGCGATTTGAATATACTATACGATACTTCCACTATCTAAGAAAAAAAAACGAAATAAAAAAAGTTAAGCTACTTTCTTGGATGTAAATTATAGACCCTATATAGCCCGGGGGAGTATGTGGGGGTTCACATATTAAGGCATACAGGGGTGTGCCGCTCTAATGGGTTACTTTTTCACAAGAAATCCCTAAACATGGGTCCAATTTTTAACACAAATACCCCTAAATATGGGTCCGCTTTTTCAAAATTTTGAAAATTATAAAAAAATCTGGGTTTTGCCATGCAAACACCCACAATTTTTGAAAGATGGGCTTTACTTTGAGAAAAAAAAATCCGCTTAATGACCCTTAAAACTGGGTAGGGGTTTCGAGGCTTCAGCGGCACACCCCCGTCAAAACTAAATCTGAGTAGCCCCCGTGCCCTAAAGGCCTCTAACGCCTCTTCATAAAATATTCATTTTATTAACTTTTGCCTCGAACGTGTTCGTATCCGATTTATCAATATAAACACTGGATACAATTTCGTGCGTATCAGTCTTGTGACATCACGTTATCGACAACTCGGAGGATCCTTGTCAAATTCATCTATGAATTCTTTAAGAACATTACCATGCATGTCAAGCATGGTATCAAAACTTCATCGCTTGAATGTAGCATTGGTTCGGAAAGCGAGTTCAGTAAAAGAGGTATGTGTCATAAGACGACATGAATTGAAGGAATACTTAAAATTTAGTCCCACACGCTGAAATTAGTGTAAGGAATTGACCATATGTGTTACTGGTGTGGCGCGCGCTAGTTCACAATTCAATAACTCCACACATAGCTGCATCACTATCCTGGCTGTGTAGTAAAAGAGGCAACACTATACTGCAGTACATTCACACAATATTTTGTAAAGCCTGCTACAGCTACCGTACTAAACTTTTATCATAGAGTAAAGGGGGGGGGGGGGGGTAATCGACCGTCACCAGTTTTCGGCCGGTCCATTGGATGCATGGTAAAATCCCTTTAAAATACATCGCTTAATAGCATATCACATATTCCACACATACCATCACATGCCAGAGTCACTGAAGAACCTCATTTGTAAATCGATGCAGCCGTACACCGCAACGCACACACGACATCTCTGTCTAATTCAGATTCCAATTTCCGATCACCGCAGAGATAGTTTTCGCCATGGCGAGCTCCGGGGAGCTCCGGCGTGGGATACCTGCTCCACCCGCTAGTGTTATAGATCAGCGGGGAAACGCACGGCGCCCATGTACATGGACATGCACATGGACATGAGACCGAAAACTGTCTCGCTAGGTCTATAACTGTCTCCGAAACAGTGAAAATTGAAATGAATATTGTCATGGTGTTGAGTTGGTGTTAGGGGTTAAATTTGCTTATGGAACGCTCTTAGCGGAACCACATAGGAAACAACTTCCTCGACAATCAATCTAGGGATCAATCAATCAAAAACACCCAAACACTTTCTCAATCGATTTGAATTGCGAAATCAGACGAGGAAAACTTTGGTTTATTTAAATGGTATGATCCATTGTATATTTAGTGGTAACCATGGCCCTCGCGTACACAGATAACGCGTGGCGCGCGCGCCACGCGTTCCTGACGGGCCCGACCTAGCGCCACGCGTTCTTAAAAAAAAAAAAAAAAAAAAAAAAAAAAAAAAAAAAAATCATTTTTTTTTTATTTATTTTTTTTGTTGAAAAATCAAAAAATTCCGGATTTTCTGGTCATAGAAATCCCCAAAAAACAGAATATTCTGAATTATTCGTAAGGGTTGGCAGGTATGGTATTAAAAATTCATCAAATTACTTGTAATACTTGTAAAAAATAAATTTAAATTAAAAAAAAAAAAAAAAAAAAAAAAAAAAAAAAATCAAATTTTTACTTTTTTTTTTTTTGGGGGGGGGGGGGGTCAAATTTTCCCTCGGGTCGCGCCACGCGTTTTTAATTTCTTGGCGAGAGGCCTGGTGGTAACAAATGTACAATCAATAATGACAACCTTAAGTGGTGGTCTACTTGTCTTGCAGCAGACTGCCCCGAAGTACAAGTAGTATGGTCCTGGCTTCGAACCTAAAAATGACTAACAAAGTATAGCCCCTTTAATGAGGGGATGTGCATCAATGCCAAATATAAGTATATAGGCCTTTTTATGAGGCGGTGTGTACCAGTACAAAAATTAGGCCTTTTTATGAGGCAGCATATACAAATGCATTAATGATATCAGTCACAAAATCTTGCCTTCATGTAACAAGTAAATTAATAAAGTACATAAGTCGGCAATATGACGTGTGGTATTAATACTTAAGATTAAAGGGGATTAATTACGGGTAGATCTACCTCAGAACTTCGGAGAGGGAATCGGAGTTGTCTTCGACGGTGGCGGAGATCGTGTGATGTCTGTGAAGTTGGTTGTTCGAGTCTGTGGAGTCTTGGACGTGTAGACTTATCCTAGTTCGTCGACGGCGACGTCGATTGAATTGCTGGGGATGTCGGGTGATAAAGACGAGCGTGACGATGAAGTACTTCGACGATGGTTGGTGAAGACCAAACAAGGATGTCGTGAAGGTCACACGAAGGTAGCCTGAAGATCGAGGAACTCTGCCAATGTTCATGGATGGCCACGTGGCGTGGTGCACTGCAGCGATCAACCGCGACCGCGAGGTCGGGGTTCCGTGAAGACAGTTCACGCGTCAGCAGGAAACACCAGAAATGAAGATTATCGAACCCAGTTCGAAATTAAATTGTCGCCAAAATATACGAATGAAATGCCGATAAAATACTCTTTCGATGAATTAAAGATGTCAGTAGACCCAGTCTACAAATAAATGTCGAAAAGGGCAAAAGTGAAAACACTCAATTCCCTATGTAACAAGAGAGCAAAAAAATATGTGTTGCTCGGCTGAACGTAAAACGGCGACTGGTGCTATGCATGGCAAATCTGAGGAAAATCTAAGGAAACGCCCAACAGGGCCTTCGCTGATTGGTTAAACTTGTTTACCGCTATTGTCATGATTGCCGTTTTAGTACAATTACATGATTGATGCATATTTAAAGGAAAGTAATCATTTATAAAATACTAGAGAACGATAGTGAATTTTCCTCTATCTTATGGCATGGTTACATAATTATTATACAAGTTTTGAAATTCATAATAAAAACGGTTTTGTCCACTACAATGGCAATTCATGATTTTTTTTCTGGGATTCTTTTTTTTGTTTAAATAATAATAATATTTGCTTCATGATTTGAACAAGAAATGATAATAAATTGGAAGTAAAGAATCCAAAAAATAGGATTTTGTCTTAAGTGGCCGAAAACCCCCTCCTTTACTCTACATATTAATCACTCAATATCGATGAAAAATAACAAACAAATATAATTTTTAAATTACTAGACCTACTTTCATTTATGAATTTGACTTGAGTTTCCGGTAATTCTAGCAAGACTTCTGCCGATTAGGTCCGTCGTTCTCAACTCTGTACCTCCATTTTCAAATGTTACGTACGTGTTCAAATATGTGGCCCTCATACGTAAATATTATATGTACATGCAGGCTATGGCGTGCCATTTGTCCAATAACTCGTATGAATTATCAGTATACTCCTAACAAACTGTTTTTGTTTTGCTAATTTTATACTAAGTTTATGATAATAGCGACTGACGGTAGTGTAAAAAGGCGTCGGTTACTTCCCCTTTTGTTGGATCGTAAACTGTTCAGACTATCATAAAACAACAAGATAGGACCACAAATTCTTTGAATACTTGAAGAAAAATATATGAAGATTTGTTCCTGGAAATGAAATAAAATAAAACTAAAAATAAAGTCTCCTAAATGAAATCAGGGTGATGGCTCTACAGGGTAACTATTCCACACAAGATGCAGTGGATGTACACATTACAGATCGTTATTGTGGGAATATCTAATAACGTCTTTATACAAGACTATATATTGGCAACGTTAAAACGACGACACGAAGTGAAAGTAAAACATAACCAAATCGTATTACCCAAATGTGTCCATTCTCCTTTTGTCGTCTGAATAATACTACATGGTGGCAGCAGTATAAGTGAAGAACCATGGAAAGTTCTCGTCTACCATTGCCAGAAAGCTTTGATAAAGTTGCAGGCTTAAATCAAGCAGAACAATGGCCAAAATGGTCACGGCGGTTCGAGAGATATCGCGTCGCATCGGGCCTCGCATCCAAGCCAGACAGTGAGCAGGTTAGTACGCTACTCTATGCTATGGGGGAATGTGCCGATGATATTATCGTGTCTCTCAATGTGAAAGAGGAGACAGCAAAGTATGATGACGTGATCGCAACATTGAAGAAGTATTTCAATGTACGGAAAAACATTATTGTTGAAAGGGCAAAATTCAACAAACGAACACAACGCCCGGGAGAAAGTGTGGACACATTTATCAATGATTTGTACAGGCTAGCAGAGGACTGTGACTACGATAGACTTAAGGAGGGCTTGATAAGAGACAGAATTGTAGTTGGGGTGCTTGATGACTCCCTATCTGATCAACTACAGTCTAGAGAAGACCTAACTCTCTCAAAAGCAGTTCAATTGAGTAGACAGTCAGAAGCCCGGAAACAAAACAAGTCTGTTGTGAGGGGAGGTGCAGAGAGTGAGAGCCCTAACTCGGCCGTAAACTACGTAAGGCCTAAGAGCAAGGGAACGTACTCGAAGAAAACATCTCAAACTCCGCAGGGTAACTGTAAGTGGTGTGGAAGGCAGAATCATGCACGTGCCAGCTGTCCCGCAAAAGATGCAAAGTGCCATCAATGTGGAAAGATGGGCCACTTCCAGTCTGTGTGTCAAGCCAAACAACCAGAACAGGGACAACAAAAGGCAGCAAAGCTAAAATGGAAAGCTCGAGTCAGCGAAGTAGATGATTTCGATGACATTGATGTCCCCTTCCTTGGTGAAGTCAGCGAGAACGATCAGACGTACTGGAGTTCATCGATCCTCGTAGATGGGAATGAAACACACTTCAAGTTAGACACAGGAGCAGCCGTTACTGTGTTGTCTGATTCCACTCCAGGGCAATTCCACGGTAACGGAAGGACACTCAGACAAGATTTTTGAACTTCAGGTTCATACTAAAAGAACTGTTTTATTAGTATAAGATGTGAAACAGTACAGATATAATACCTATATAAGTGCCTTTAATTCTCCCCCAAAAAATTGTCATTATAGTTAAGTAGTTTAAGAATGTGCATATTAATTATCTCGGTAACGGAAGGACATAAAAATGGACATGGTTTTTCCAGTTAATTAGTGTTTATCCAAACTTTGTGAAGTTGATGAAGCTTTCCACTTGACTGAAACACATTTTGTTCCCCATAGTTTAATACATACTAATAAAACATTTCTTTTAGTATGAACCTGAAGTTCAAAAATCTTGTCTGAGTGTCCTTCCGTTACCGTGGAATTGCCCTCCATGGCTGAATAAACACATCATGAGACCAACAACCAAGAGGTTACGTGGTCCAGGAAGTACAGTCCTGACTGTGATAGGACAAATGACATCAACTCTCAGGCATAGAGATAAACAGATCAAGGAGACTCTCTATGTGGTCAAGGATCAGGAGTCTTCATTGCTGAGTAGGAAAGCGTGTAGAACCTTGAATCTAGTCCGCAGAGTGGAGGAAGTCGATTCTTGTGATGATGAAACTGCAAACTTCAAGGCTGAGTTCCCTCAACTTTTCACTGGTTTGGGGAAACTGAAGACAGCATACCACATCACGTTAACTTCAGATGCCAAGCCGATGTGCCTGTATACAGCCAGGAAAGTTCCTCATCCGCTTCTACCGAAGGTGAAGAAAGAACTAGAGTCCATGTTGGAGCAAAATGTGATCTCAAAAGTGACTGAGCCGACAAAGTGGTGTTCGGGGATGGTTCCAGTGTTGAAGCCCAGTGGTTCGGTGAGAATTTGTGTAGACCTTACATCTCTCAACAAGGCAGTTGAACGAGAGATTCATCCGATGTCTTCAGTCGATGAAAGTCTAGCAAAACTGGGAAAGAGCACAATCTTCACAAAACTGGACGCCAACAGCGGATTTTGGCAAATTCCATTGGAGGATGAGTCAAAGCTACTGACAACCTTTGTCACTCCATTTGGGAGATTTTGCTTCAACCGATTGCCGTTCGGGATAACGTCAGCGCCAGAAGTCTTCCAGAGAGCGATGTCCACTATCCTCGAAGGACTTGACGGCGTGATTTGTCACATGGATGATGTGCTAGTCCATGGTGCAACACAAACAGAACATGACATCAGAGTACGAGCTGTTCTACAACGTCTGCAGGAAGCAGGTATCACACTAAATCAGGGAAAGTGTGAATTCTCCAAACAGAGTGTGAAGTTCTTAGGGCACTTCATCGACGACACTGGTGTCAAGGTCGATCCGAGCAATACAAGAGCTATTCGAGATTTTCCAGTTCCTCGAAGCGTGAAAGAGCTACAGAGGTTCATGGGAATGGTGAACCAGGTGGGAAAGTTTCTCCCAGGATTAGCTGAGATCAACGAGCCCCTTCGTCAACTCCTGAAGAAAGACAATGTGTGGTGTTGGGGAGAAGCGCAGCAGAGATCTTTCACACAGATCAAAGAGATGATGGTCTCGACAGCAGTCTTAGCTCATTATGATCCAGAACTGCCAACAGTCATTGCAGCAGATGCATCCGGGACTGGAATGGGTGCAATCCTGTATCAAGTGCAGACTGATGGAAATCGTAGACCAGTGTGCTATGCATCTCGATCGCTTACCGAGACTGAGCAGAGGTATGCAGTGATTGAAAAAGAGGCACTGGCAGCTACTTGGGCGTGCGAGAGGTTCTCCGAGTATGTACTTGGTCTTCATTTCGAGGTGGAAACTGACCACAAGCCATTGGTCACACTTCTAAACTCGAAAGAACTTGTGAAAATGCCTCCACGACTCCAACGCTTCAGAATGAGAATGATGAGATTTGATGCAGAGACATTGTATGTTCCAGGAAAACAGCAGACATCCGCTGACGCCTTGTCACGAGCGCCAGTAGAGAGGCCAGGAATGGATGATGTCAACTTCGTAGATGAGGTTGAATCATATGCATCAACATCAGCCATCAACCTCCCAGTGACAATGCAGAGATTTGAGGAAATCAGAAATGCACAAAAAGCAGATGAAGTATGTGCAAAAATCAGAGACTACTGCGTTCAAGGATGGCCAGACTACATGCCACATAACCCGATCCTCAAACACTACTATGAGCAGAGAGGACACCTGAGTGTGGTAGAGGACTTGCTTATCTACGACGAGAGAATAATCATTCCGAGAGCTCTGAGACTTGATATCCTTGAGAGGCTACATCAAGGACATCTGGGAATCACCAAATGCAGAGCCAGAGCCAGAGATTCAGTGTGGTGGCCAGGTCTATCAAAATCATTGGAGGAAATGATTTCAAGCTGCTTGACCTGTGCTATCCATCGCCAAGAGGTCCGCGAGCCTTTGATGAGCTCATCCTTTCCTTCAAGGCCATGGGAGCGTCTTGGAATGGACCTGTTCGAACTCAAAGGGAAATCGTTCCTGATAGTAGTTGACTACTACTCGAGGTGGATTGAGGTCAAACAACTCCAAGGTCAGTCAACAATGGCAGTGATTTCTTCGCTGAAGGAGATCTTTGCAGTCCATGGGATTCCAGACCTTGTGGTTTCAGACAATGGTCCACAGTTCGCCAACGAGAACTTCAGAAAGCTTGCTGAAGAGTATGGATTCGTCCATACAACCAGCTCTCCAAGATACCCACAAGCTAATGGTGAGGCTGAAAGAGGAGTTCGCACTGTGAAAGCGTTGCTGAAGAAGAACGACGACATCCAGTTAGCCCTTCTCAGCTATCGAGCGTCACCACTCCAAAACGGGTTAGCTCCTTGTGAACTTCTCATGGGGAGGAGATTGCAGACTCAGGTTCCTACTTTGCCGCACATGCTGCTGCCACGAGTACAACAGCCGGACCTGAAAACTGTGAGAGAGAAAGAGGAGAAGTACAGGTCAGATCAAATGATGACCTACAACAGACGTCATGACTCACGTGAGCTTCCAGAGCTACAACTAGGAGATTCCGTGTGGATCCGTGATCAGTCTCGCTACGGGAAAGTCACCCAGAAAGCGCAACAACCACGGTCCTACCATGTCCAGACAGAACATGGGACAGTACGTCGTAATCGCCGTGCACTGATTGCTGTCCAAGGTCAACCTACCAAGACCAGAGTGCCGGAGTCATCCATGAGCAACGATCCAGAGAGACCTGACGATTCTGATGAAAGCGACTCAACCGGTTCCCAACGTAACCAGCAGATCAACCGGAAGCAGCCTGAGGGAGCCTCTACACCAACAGCTGCGACAGAGACGCGAACGCGATCTGGACGACTCGTGAAACCACCAACGCGACTGTCCATGTAATGGGTTAAACTTAAATACCAAAATTGGGATTAACTTTGCAGGAACTGAAACTGAACAAGACTTTAAAGGTTTGGACAGTGTTTATTTGGGTTTAATAGTAAACTGGAATGGACTCGGGACTTGAAGAACACAATTAAGGAGAATATCCGTGAACTCTTAAACAGGATTATATTTCGGTTTTTATTGGATTTGAAACTATTTGGAAATCAATGAGAACTCTTGAACTGTTATAATAAGCTTGGGGGGAGATGTGGGAATATCTAATAACGTCTTTATACAAGACTATATATTGGCAACGTTAAAACGACGACACGAAGTGAAAGTAAAACATAACCAAATCGTATTACCCAAATGTGTCCATTCTCCTTTTGTCGTCTGAATAATACTACAGTTATGTGCATGTTTTTTTGCTTTTTTTGGCGGGAGTGCTTGACTAGAGTGCATGTTAGTCAAATATAATATAAGGGGAATGAGGATTCTGATTTTGTAATAAACTCATTTGTTTGCTACTTGCTTCAGTGACAATCTGTTCCTAAAGAATTATAAATCATGTTGTGATTTTTTTAGGATTATTTGTATACATTGAAAGTTCTTTGCCCCTTAACCCTTTAACCAAGTAAGTCCATTCTCCTTTTTTAATTGATATTCTTTGTTAAAGAGTGAGTTGAAGAGGACTCCCCTATCAGACTTCCATGTGGAGCATGGAGCCAAGATGGTCCCGTTTGCTGGCTACTCGATGCCAGTCCAGTACAAGTCTGGTCTTGTGAAAGAGCACCTTCACTGCAGGTCATCAGCAGCCATCTTTGATGTGTCACATATGCTACAGAGCAGGATTTATGGAAAGGACAGAGTCAAGTTTATAGAGTCATTAACAGTTGGTGAGTATACAAGACAGTTGGTAGTAGCCTGGAATAGAGTAGAAAACATTTGTTTGTCAGTAAAACGTTTGTAAAGACTTTTTTTTTGGGGGGGGGGGAATCAACTAATCCAAATGAAAACAGCTTAGTCAAGTCATTCATTAATTTATGTTTATCACACTTGATCCAGGTGATTCAAACGAATACCTACCATTGGAAAAAGATTCCTTGAATATGGCATCTCTTTACAAGGGATATAGCCAGGTAATAATTCCAGAGCTCTGTGAAATCTCATAAAGATGTATGTCATTCTTTACGCTGTACAAGAGTAGAGAAAGGAATTTTTTCTAGATTCTGTTTCATTTTTGAAGTCAGACATAAATTGAAAGTTGTTACTCCCCTAAAACAGTATGACAATTTCAGGATGGTCCTCAAGCAAAAATTCAAATATGTAAAATTTCAACTTGGAAAGAGTATGAAGTTCCTTGCAGCCTGGATCCAGCTCTAGGGTGCCAAGATGTGCTCAGGTGCAAAGTAAGACATATTTTAAAGCATTATATACCAAATTTTATGACTAATATTTTCTAAATAATTAAGGTTGAGATTGTCGCCATGAGATTTTAAAATGTTGCTGCTACATGTTTAAAACCTAGTTCTATCTTGCTGTAGGAAGTGTCTGTCATTTGATTTGTATCATTTTTCATTCAGCTGATGTTGAGGCCCTAAAACCAAACACAGGTACTCTCAGCCTCTTCATTAATGACCACGGAGGCATCATTGATGACCTCATCATCAACCAGACCTCTGAGGACCATCTCTACATTGTCTCTAATGCAGGGTGTGCAGACAAAGATCAAGCTCATATCAAGGTATCTGTGCAGTGATAACAACCGTCTGTTTGAAGCCAGAAGTGTCTAAAAGGATATGAGTTAATGCCCTTCTAGCTCCAAACAGTGTATATTAGACAGTGCTGTCGTCGAGAACAAATTTCTTTGTCGACATAATCAAGTTATTCATTAAGCTAACGTTGACAATTGTCAACAAAACAATGGTCAGTAAATTTCAACATTCAACTCAACAACAGTGAAACAACCGCTATTAAAACATTGAGGTATTGTTGCTATACTAAACTGGTACAAATACATCTTGGAACATGTAAGCTTCACCTGGGATGAAAATTTAATCTAAAACATATGAACCCAACTGCAATATGATTTTTTATTTCTCAAGTTGCATGTAGCAGGGGAGGCAGCCAGCTTCACAGTCACAGTAGGTTTATGCGTGAACACACACAGCCAGCTTCATATAAAAACCCAAGACATGATATCTCAATCAGCTTCAATATGACAGTATATACCACATGACACGGACAGATTCTTGTTTATGGCGAGTGATACCTTGCTTGAGAAAATATCCGTATATGAATCCAAGAACTGTCACAGAAGTTATGATGTTTGAAGAATTACAGCACATGTTTTAAACACAATGTAGCACTCTGGTCTTCTCTTTTCATGTAAGACTGAATAAATTTCTACAAATTAAAACATATGCTGATTATCAGTGCAGAAACCAAATGATGCTATTTGGTCATAAGATATTTTTGTCAAGGAAATAAGTACCTTGTATATCTTGTAGATCATTGCAGATGGGTTACTTTGTAGTCTTTATTGATGCTTGGTGTGTGCATATGGTAGGGTAACTATTAAAAGAAATCATTGCATAATTTTTTCTTTGTCTGTTCTTTTCTTTATTTGAATGCAGAACAAACTGGCATTGTTTGTAGCAGAAGGCCATGATGTATCATATGAACCAATCACAGACATGGCATTGATAGCCTTACAAGGTCAGTATATAGTCGTACATCTCAAAGGTCACTGTCATATGTATTGAACAGGAATGCACAATCTAATCTCTATCCTAAACCTAATCCTAACCCTAACCTTAACCTTAACCTTAACCTAACCCCAACTCACTCTAACCCTAGATCTCATGCTTGCCCTAGCCCTAACCATCTCTTTAATTGGTCTAGTGGGCTGAAATTGGAAGATATGCAACCTCAATGTAATCTGTAATTCAGCCATCTATTCAGCAAAATTGTCCATTCGTTATAGTGTTGAACAGAGGCACTTCTGTCTGCTTATGATACATCTTTTCACTTCTATGCTTATGATACATCTTTTCACTTCTATGCTAATGATACATCTTTTCACTTCTATGCTAATGATACATCTTTTCACTTCTATGCTAATGATACATCTTTTCACTTCTATGCTAATGAGTTTTTCAAATCATTAAAAATGTGTTCACCCTGGTATCAAGTTAATTTGTATTTCAGAAGATAATGTGAGAAACAAATCAGTGAAAATTGAAAGAAAAAAATTAAATTGAAATAAATAAGAACGTTTTAGAGTTGTATTTGATCACTAAACACGGGAAGAAGAAACCTGGAAGACCTCATCTTACCTATACAGACCTACTCAAGAAGGATACGGGACTTGAACTGTCAGAGATGAAAGCAGCCATGCTGGACAGGAATGTGTGGAAGGCCATCACAGCTCGGGCATTTGACCCAACTTAAGCTAAGCTAAGATTGGCACTTCCAGGATTTTTCTTGATAGAAGTCATCGGATCTCCATATGTTTAGTATGGAGAATGATCAAAGTATCCCTCTTGTTGGGTGTTGGTGAAATAATAGTTCTATACCATAGAGGGGATAACAGCTATAATATCAAATTCATGTATCTCATCTTACTCCTGGGTACATATTTTAAAATGAATGGTAATGTAATCAAAGAGTAAAGTAACTAGGACTGTTCTTCCTGTACTTGGTTCACAGGTCCTGCCATGGCACGAGTGCTTCAAGCTGGGGTTTCTGATGACCTCGGCAAGCTGACCTTCATGTCAGGGGTCAACACCTCAGTCTTTGGTATCCCAGGATGCCGAGTGACGAGATGCGGCTACACCGGAGAGGATGGTGTAGAGGTATGTAACTGGCTGCAAAGTTTCTTATTATTATACCTGTGTGGATTTTGTATTTTTCTGCAACTTTCCATTCTCTTAGCATGATTTTGAAATAGAACATTCAGACAAGTAGGTGTAGTCTACCAATGTTACCAAAACAAACCCCAAATGTTTTGTTTGATGATATATCACAGCAGGAAAATCTGGATACCAGAATGCTACATACAGAAAAGTGAGAATTCTGATTGGCGAATGTAACAACATATATGTGTCAATTTAAAAGTTGATTTACAGTATTAGTCTTTAACTTGAGTTTAGTTTATAATAGCACTATATAGTCACAATTCATAAGGTGCTGCACATTTATTTTCTTAAAAATGGGTTTAAAGGAAATTTTAGATGGAAGATAATTTCAATCACTGGTCATTTAAAAAAAGAAATGGTTTCCTTTCATTCACTTTTTAGTTAATTCTGTTATTTTTTGTAGCTTCTGTCATGTTATTATAAATTAAAACTCTGATAGATGATGTGAGATTTGTACATACTTTCCATTAACACTGTATCTTCCTCACTATTGTGACTTTTGTTAAGTACATGGACTTTATATATATTGGGTTCTGTCTGCGCATCTATAAAAATGAGACACATAGCATTTTATACATTTTACTAGATGAAATGAACTTGTTCTGTCTAACCCTAGATCTCTGTCCCAAGCAACCGATCAGTGGAGCTTACCTCAACTCTCCTTGCTGCAAAGGATGCATCAGTGGTCATGGCAGGGCTTGGTGCTCGGGATAGTCTAAGGTTGGAAGCAGGGCTCTGTCTCTATGGAAACGACATCAATGATGATACGACTCCTGTAGAAGCCATGCTAGGCTGGACTATAGGTACGTAGTCTGAGCTAAAGTTTTATGGGAGATGTTTTCAATGATTAACTACATGTACTTGCGCATGTGCAGGGCTCCACACTAACTTTTTTGTAGGGGTCCGGGTTGAACTCTATCGAGTCTGTATGCGGCATGAGCCCAATGGAAAAATATTTGAAATTTGGGGGTCCAGAAAAAGATGTTGGGTGCCCATTTTCCACACAAATGACAGGGAAGTGATTTAGGAATGATTTATCATGATAGTAATAGCTATCAGTGAGCTTAGATTGACCATTCAGAATGAGGGTTGTGATTCCCAACATATACCGGGTAAAGGGAAGAAAAGAGGCAGAAAAGTTATTTGTAGAATGTAGACAGAGAAGTTTAAAAAAATAACACAGCTATGATACACCTGTGATATCAAATCTTCGGTAGGAAAATATATTTATGTCTTCAGTCGTTCACATTCATTACATTTTTTAACAAGTACTCAAGTTGACCTAGGACTGTGAGGAGGAGAATGAATTTAAGTTATATGAATATGCCTCCTTTGATGATAAACATTTATTATGGTTTATTATTCAATTGATATATTTTCAGGTAAGAGGAGACGGCAACTAGCTGACTTTCCAGCAGCAGATCGCATCCTACAGCAAATCAAAGAGAAGCCTAGCAGGAAAAGAGTTGGAATAGTGTCATCTGGGCCTCCTATTAGAGGTGAGTTTAATAGTAATGTGAACATCTTGCATGCTATTTCTAAAAGTCCAGGTTTAAACCCTGTAACAAAAATAGGGTTGGTTTATGTCATGTCATGCCTTTTCATTCCATTTAAATCATCAAATTCCTCAACTAAATGAACAAATGAACAAATCATGCTGGTATGAAATATATGAACATACATAAATCATGTTGATATGGAATAAATTATTCTTTTTTCATTTCATGAATTAATTCATTTTGTTCATAACTTTGGTACAGAATTTCAGAATTTGTATGAGCTCATAATGTTATTTCATATGTGTTATTAACAGGTTTACAGAACGTTATCACAAGTAACAAGATTTTCCTGACAGGACTTTAGTTATGGATGCATTTTTCATTGCTTATCCTGATAATGACATCATTCCATGTTATCTAACTTCAAGATCAAGAAATCTTTTTGAAATTTCAAGTAGAAAGACTAGGACAACATACTTGTAGGACAATTTCCTCCTCCCGAAGAATTAGACACATTACCTCCCATGCAACAACCCACTAATTCAATGCTGTGCTATGCTCTAATTGGAATATTTTTGAAGGGTTATTGTCTAGGGTGTAGTAATGGTCCTAGAGGGGGATTCATCTAGAGGAAAGTTGTTAATGGGGGGGGGGGGGGGTGGTAATTGTTCTGGGCTGAAAGATCGCCTAGGTTTGTAGATTGTAATTATGTTACATACAGAGTACTGTAATATCAAGTTGGATGGAAACAAAAAGTGGATTTTGACACATAGTCTTAAAATAAATAAATACAGAAGCTTTTAATCTGTTCTTCCCCCTCCCTCTCTATCTACTAGGAGGCGAAATCTTGAGCAATTCTGGCGAGCTAATTGGTGATGTGACGAGTGGCTGTCCGTCTCCATCCCTCAAGAACAATGTCATCATGGGATACGTGTCGGCAGCCCACGCCAAGAATGGGACAAAGGTCCAGTTCCAGGTACGAAAAAAGACTGTTGAAGGGGTGGTAACAAAGATGCCGTTTGTGCCTACAAATTACTATATCTTGAAATGAGGGATGTGGCTTTGTTTACAACACTATTTTACCGCTGCTGCCTTTGTTTTAAAGCCTATCTGCACTAGTTTGGCCAGGAGGGATTAGACCTCCCTGCATGGTCACTGACAGGTGGTTATCTCATCAAATCAGCTCTCAATTAACATAAGAAAAAGGGGACCATGGGGGACCAATGGTCACCAATTAGGCATTGTTTGCTATATAGAGGGTGCAAGAAGCTATACGTAGTGCAGTGGGGCTTTAAGTCACACTTAGATCAAGGGATTATTACAAGAATGAGATGAGCTGCAATGTACCATGCCATCCTGAACCTTAAAGGTTAATCAGATGTTAACTTTACGTATTGATGACTTCTGCCTGGTTGCTTCAAAAGAGGGATGTGTGTGACAGATAGATACAATGTTTGCAATCAATCATATTTTATATATAAGCATGAGAGCAATAGAGAAATTGCTGTGTTGTAGTAGAGTTATCTTTGATTTGAAAGTAAGATCAAGAGGGAAATTTTCAGCTGCATTGATATAGCATTTTGACTGAGAGTTGAGTCTGAGACATACACTGAAATATTTAAATTTATTCTTGATAAGGATCTTTCTACATTAATGATGAAATGTTTTTTACTTGGTGAGACGTTGCAGTGAGCAATGTGTGTCCAAATAAATTCATATTGGATATAGTGGCACCCTGCATAGTAAGGCCTCCTTTCAATGAAGGCCACTAATGTTTATTCGCTCAAAATGGATTAACCAGCTAAGTAGCCAAGTCTGTGCAGAAAAGCCACTTTTCCACAAAGGTCTTCCATTTGATTGTTGTGCACAGTCATGAAGTTGAATTACAATGTATGCACTGCCGTGGGTTTATATGAAGGAAATAGAGATGGTGCAAATCCTATAATAGCAAAGAGGTAATGCTGTAACATGTTTGTATCGAAATTGGTTTTGATTGTCACAGGTTTGATAAAGTTAGGTTTGCATAAAGTTTTGATCAAGAGATGGTGCAGTACTGGGCTATGAGTACTTATAAGGTGTAGTGATAAAAAAGAATATATAAATTTTGCAATTGATATGATATGAACATTATGCTAGCCCTTATCCTTGTGTGAGAGTAACCTTAGTGAGCTGTATTGGATTCTTCTCAGTTCTTGCAGAACTGTAATTAATATTTTAGGTTTAGTAGCCTTTGATTGTGTGATTGTGATAGGTGAGAGATTTTTATTTTGTGTGTCTAAATCTCAGTTTAGCATTACCAATATGTTTAGGGGCGGGCTCACTAGTCTTGTTGGCAAGCAATTTTGGGGCCATCACAAAACAAAAGATTACTTGTTCGAGGACCTTTTCTTTGATGAATGAAAAATTGTTGTCAAAGTACTATCAAACTTACTAGCAGAAATGATCTGCTACTCTTAATTAGAATGGTCCAGTAATACCCCTGCTTATATTTGATATTCTGGCCTTAGAGCAAAGATGTAAGTAATGAAATTAGGGAACACGGTATGTGTGCAAAGTGCAATGGTTTTATAGTGGAATTAATTTGTATATTTGATGTTTGTTTACATAATTGTTTATGTTTACCGTCTATATGTTGATCCCTGAACATCAAGGTACATGTACTTAAAATCAGAATTTTTGCAACCTAAAACTCTCATGATTCATTAATGACAGCTCATGTGACTTGCAAAATTCATGTTTTAAATTTGAAGGCAAGAAAATTTTGCAAATTTTGGTAACCTGTGAATTGATAAAGTTTCAATTCTTGCATGCAAATTTATCTAGTTTTAGCTTTTCTATGCAAATGTTACGTTAAATCATAGTGTTGTTAAACAAATCTGAGTATGTACAATATAGAAACTAAGCTTACAATTTGTGGGTACATAGCTCTTAGTTTTCTTTTTTCTTAATTTTGTTTTCCTGCTTTTTTATTTCTTTTTGCACTTTTATATTCTGTTGATTTTAAGTGAACAGCATTATTGGTTTTATTCATTCCCAAAAGGTACTTGCATTGAAATAAATTGATCAGGTTTATTTAAATATAAATGTCACAGCAACAATTTTATCAATTCATCTTGAATTCATACATACTGTATATTTATTAAAAAATCATTTATTAATGGTGTGCAGTGGTATTCTATTACTATTCAAATTCATTATATGCAAATTTTTAGTGTATTTCCTTATTGTGAATCTTGCCATAACTATTGAAGTACACAAAGTTCTATGATAGAGGTCTTGGAGCAGCCACTCTTTAAACCTGTATGTATGTACCCTGTTTCCATGGGAACTCTCCATGTAAACAACAAGACTATTGATTACACTTCACTGGTTGGTGCTTGTTTGTTATTGCTTTCATAAAAGGGTGTATTGTATTACAGTGTTGACTAATTGGAATAGGATTAAGTTAAAACTGAACAATAACCTAGAAGGATGCGCAGCCAGTCCATGGACAAGTTCCATGTGTTTTTATAGATGTTAGGAACTTTTGAAACCATGTTAATCTTCCCTGTGTATGGATTGCCAGCTTTTGCAAACCTTCCATTTAATTCTTCCATTACTCCACATGCAAGTCTAAAGAAAAACAGTTGATAAGCAAACTACTTGTGTGCTCTTTCTTGCTACATTCAGACTATCCCTGTCTTTGTTTGTGAATACAATAGGGCACTATTCAGCAAGCTGCAAGGTTAAATTGATCTTATCAGTATTGATTTTAGTTTCAGATACCAGTTATTTGAGGAGGTCAGTGGTACCTGTAGTTTTGCTCCCCTCAAACAAAATGAGAGGACTTTGCCTTTTTTATATTTGAGGCCGTGCATGAAGCTGACAAAAATGGACTAGAGTAATTGATATCGTGCTGAATTGAATTGATGTCTGATCTTTTGGTAATTGATCTTGTCACCATTTAGTTCTATTTGGGTCATTCACATTGACTATAATGCAATAGAATAGCAAAAGCAAAGTTGTGTTTTTAATTGAATCCACTTCAATATGTGTTTAAGTCATAGTTTTGTTGACTCATTAGAAATGCCGAAAGAGATACAATATTTTATTAGTGGAATTTTAAAAAAATATGCTGATAGTAGTATATTTAGTGATGTATTCAATGAAATTGCCAGAAAACTCTGTAGCATCACTCTAATTTACATTTGCATTGCATTATTTTATCATTTTTCTTCTCTTTTCATATGTGTCAACTGACTATACTATCATGAACATCGATTGATGCACAAGGTGCTAGTTATATTTTTCTAGGTTACCGTAATTATTGTAAGACAGCATGTGTACAGTAAATATTTCTCATTTTTCCCTCAATTAGTGTTTAAGAGACGTAAGCCTAAATGTATTATTCATACAATATATGGTCTTGAGTCATTCAATAAACAGTAATGAAAGAAATTAATACAGTTATGTCTTAGCTTCATATTTTTGAAAAAGATTCAGAGGTTGCATCATATGCGAAAGTATGTGTGTATATTCAAATGTTGTTTGAATTATGCGTTTGCATATTATTGGATACATTTCAAGCAAACAATGTATTGTTTACGTGTTGCTAGGAAACTTTGTTGCCCATATATGACATTTGCCAAACATCAAAGGTGTAGGAAAACAGCACAATAGTACCAAATTTGAAAAAAAATGCTTATACTATGAATGTTAACTTTGTGCATTGATTGCTGCCCCCCAAAACTGCTTTGAACACTTTAAAATGATTTCTGCACCATTCATAGTTAAGTTGTACTAAAATTACATATATTTAAAATATTTGCATTTAGTTTATTTTAAGGAAATTGACTTCCAAGCTGGTCATGCTGAAAAAAGAAGAAAATATATGTGCATTTTGATGTCAGATGGTGTCTAATCATGATTGGAATTGTATACAATCTCCCAAAAGTTTAGTGTAACATGACCAAAGAAGAAAACTGAACTCTCGTCTGAATTTTTAGGTCTTTTATTTTCACACAAAGCAGCAGATAAAAGATATCAGATTGTATAAAATTCATATTTACTTGATTTTCTGTTTACACTTATCACATTATCTTAATAACCCTGAAATTAAAAATAAATATCTCTTGATACTAGAGTTGTAGGTTTACTTTAGACAACCAGTAGCAACATATTTAATTGTTCAACATTGAAAGCACTTGATTCTTATATTTGGACATCATAATAAACAATTCCTTCGTGCGCAATACAGTATATTTTGTCGGGAATGTGAACTATACACATGTACATGATTTACAATCTATATTATATATATTTTAAAAGACATTTGAAACAAGTATCAATTATTTTTCAAAATCTCAATTGTCAATTCCAATGGTTAGAATGAAAGTATACCTTACTCGTAACAGACTAGATTATAGCATATGCTTCGTTTAAATATATGTCATTGTCAATACATGTAGTTGCAAGATGTATTCTTGGGTGTGTTATTTTTGTAAATGATTGTATTATGAATGTGTTTTATTTCTTTACACAGTGACACCACAATCTAGTATTTAATTACTCAAAACAGTGATAAACTCAACTCAAATGATAAATGAAGTATATTGACAACTTTGCTCACTTTCAAACATGTACACATGTGTTTGAATTATGATGCAAATCACTCAAATAAAGTTCATGATATATTTACTTGGATGTTTATGTAGACGGATCACTTGGAAGCATTATTGCATATCAATACACAGTGTATGGTGTAGATCAGCTGCATGACACAACAATCAGGGATACAGTGTACATAGTATATCCCTTGAATTTGACTAAAGATTATTCTTCGGGAGAGGATTATGCACTAAGGATAATATTTGACTGTAATATATTGGTATGACACTAATTAATTGCATTATAAAGTTGCATTGCAGGGTCTCTTTGAATGAATTCCTATGGAAATGTAATTAAGTGCATGTAAATATACTCCCCAAGAAAACTCTTCAATGTTCTTTATTTCGAGCATGGAACACGACTATAGTACTGTACATATTATACTAGCACTCAAGCTTCCTACAGTAAATATCACTAAACCAAACCATAATGCTGGAAGCCTATCCTTTACTTATCTCACATTTGTGTGCACCATAGGATTGTCCATCAAAGTATGACTTGGTATCTACATGCATCACAGTGGATAGAACCATCGCCCACTCAGCCCACTAGCTGTACAGCAACAATGCCTTCCAGAATACAGAATACCACTGCACAGGAATCACAAACCAGAAGTGTAATATATTCAAAATAAGATATAAGAACGTCCATATTATGTCTGTTTGGCCCAGAAGGACAGTGACTCATTCACCACAGAGCTAATGCCCTTCTGGCTCTGAACACATGATTTATTCTCTCTCTTTACAATAAAACAGGGAAATAAAAGAATCAGTTCTATTTCTGATTGAGTTAACCCCAACAGTCCATTATATGCTGTCACTAATCATGGCTTGTTGCACGGATGCCTGGGAAGCTCCTTGATGTGAGAAACTGGTACTCGTGTCTGGCATTGCCTGTGAAGAAGAAGGCATCACTTCCATAGGAACGGTTGATGTTGCAGTTGGAGTCATACCAAAGTGAGATGAATGACAAGGTCCTGATTGAGCCAATCTTGGCAAAGTGTCCTGCACTGATGAATCATTCACATCGGCATTTGGGATTTCAGGCAGAAGTCCTATCACAGTTTTTGGACGTTGTCTCCGTGAAGGCAGCACATGGACCTGTTCTACGTCTCCATGACTGTGCCAAACCATGCAGTCCGCAACGCTTGTCCTAAAGGCTGGAGCAGAGGTTATCCTCGACCTACGCAACCTGGTTACTGATGGAACAGGGTTCTCATGGATGGAAGCAATCTTAGGGTTGATGAAGTTCATAGTTTTCTGGTCTGAAACTGGTTCTGTGTCTACCGTTCCTGTGTTCATATTGGTATTAATCATCCTGTTTGGTTGGGAATGCCGATGGGTCAGTTGATAGGTCGTGGACAATGGCTCAAGCTCCTCCTCTGCTGTCTTCAGGTCAACATAGGGCGTGACCAGGAGAGGCCTATGGTTTGCCTCACGGGGTGGTCGAGGGGTCCTGACACTAGGTACCAAGATCTGTGGCACACGCCCTGATGCCTCATTAGTTGTGAAGGTGTCTCGGTAGATGGAGACTTTGGGGCCTGCCTCCTCTATTTCTTTCTTGTGTGGCACCCATGCAATGAAGTCTGGGACAAACTTTGTCTTGTAATTTGACTGTACCTTCCTTTTGCCAAGATTCTGTTAGACAAATACAGAGAGAAGGAGACTCACGTTTATTCCATCAAATCCGGAAATATGCTTCAAAACAGAAACAAGATATCGCCCACAATCTTTACTTCATCTACGTGTAAACTTTTTGTTAATTATTTCTATCGAATACCTCTTGTATATTTTATCAGTTTCTGAAATTTAACTTTCCACCACGATTAAAATGAAACTTGTTACTACTTGTAACATTATTATTATATTCATGATGGCATGCTCGATATCATGTTCTACAAATTTTTCACCTAATACTGTACATGAATTGTATTTATATTGGCCTTCTATACACACCAGATTTTCACACAACTCACAAGAAAATACAATTTTATACCATACACTATTTAAGGGAAGAGAAGCATAACCTACTTTTTGATCCAATTCTCACATCAAACTTTTCACAATGCTAGAAATTAAAATTCAATATTTGAAACAAGACTTACCCCTTGAAAACTGTCCACCGTGTTGAGGAAGGAAAACCGATTGTCATGATGAGAGAAATGATGGGTGCTTGGACGATCCTGAGATTAAGAAAAGGATTGGTATTAAATGTTATTCTCTTTGCTTGTGCTCAAGTTCAAAACTAATCATAAGTACATAATGATTTACAACTTTCTTTTATGTCATACAGTTTAACAGAAAGTCTCTGATTATTTATAATCATATAAGTGTAATTTACTGTTGATGAAAGTCACATGATGTAAAGATGAACACAGGGGGAGGGTTTTGTTTAGTCATTTCAGACGTATTCATCAGCAAGACAGCAAAAATGTAATTGTGAATATCATTTGATCAAAATATACCCTCTCATATAAGAGCACTGATAAAGTAGAAAGCCAGATGAAATATCTCCTTGATATGCCATCTTATATTCTTATTCTTAAATTATTTTTCTTGAGTGTATCTTGTTTTCTGAATGAATTATTAGGTAACAATAACAATTATGATATGAGTATAATACAATAATATATCTTCAGGGAAGAGTTATTATGACAAAAGTTAAACAGTTATACTTACAACAATCATATCATGGAATTTTTGAGGTGGGGAAGGTTTTGCTTGCTGTCGGTATTGGTTGAGGAAATCATTCCGATGCTTGCTTCTGAAATGGCCATAGTATCCAGCTGAATGCTGCAAGGAAAGAGAAATGAAGTCAATTATGTCAACCAAATAATAATTAAAGGCAGGATAGATTTCAGCTGGGAAAATTATTGATTAGTACTTATTACTAATTCAAATTCATGTAGAAGGATATTTTGCCTTAATTGAAAAGAGAAGAAATATGACATTCTGTGTAATAAGCCTGCATGGTTACGTACATCATGACACCGCTCTTTTTTTTAAAATACTTTTTAATAATGCTGAACATACGTGGGTATAATTTTGATCACTCCAATATATCATCAAAACTTAGTTGTGAGAGTTTTTTAATTAGCTATATAGTTATATGGTTTCGCTGTTTGAACATTACGTTTCGTAGTAAATGTGATTTATGATTTCTTTAATCATCACGATGTAGACCCTATAACATCAATTCTATTCGCATGAAAACATATCTGATTTCACTGCGGGAAAACAATTACGTAAAATGGAAGTTCAAATAAATTAGAGTAGGCCTATAATTACAAACTGTATTACTCCCTCAAATTCAAGTCTGCACTTTAAGAGAAAATAAGACCGGTATAAATTAGTACATACACGAGTTATAAAGAGAAATATATATATATATTTCACGATATCATAGCTTTTCAATACAAAATTAATTACAAAAAGTGCAAATCACGTCCAAGTTTTCATCAACTTACCCAACTGCCTTGACTATTTCCATTCTTATCTCTCTGCCCTCCCATTTTCCTGACAAAATTCAATACTTTGTCACCAAATCTGTAAATGGCAGCAGGATTTTACAGCGTTAAAATTACAATAGTGATAACACGTCGTTTGCTCTGCGATAGCGATGTTTGTGTCTCTATTATTGCCGCAACACGGGCTCTGTCTCGTTTCTAAGGTCACGGCTTGGTAAACTTCCTGAAAGGCAGGTGGTTGTCTTGCAAATTTACATATTCATGAGAAACACCCCCGGGCAAAGTCTCGAGATCAAAATTAAATCGGCCAGATTATGGACAAGTTTCGACCTGGGTTTTCAATCGTTTACGGTAAGCCTCCCGATTTTTCGTGAAGTAATTTATTTCAAGTAAAAATAGCTTTACACTTGTTAATTTTGTATACAATCTCATTATTTGATAAATTATCGCATCAGATTCTGTGTGCGTGGCTATTATGAATATTTATGATAGCGCATGACGTATGGGTTTCTTTTGAGCCAATCAAATCCAGCGCTATAAAAAAAAGCATGCATATGCAAAGTAACCGCGGGCAAGTTGAAATGTTTACAATTTTAGGCCTAGAACCTACGCACATCTCAAGTAAAGTAAGTTAAGAAAGTTAAGAATTATAAATATTCTGGTGTAAATTGTCATGGTTTGAACTTAGTGTGTTAGTGATTATCGTAGCGTATGTGTGTGGTCTATTGGAGCATATTTAATTTAAAATTTGCCTGATGGATTCGACTAAATTATTGCTGATGAGGCCTGCAGATGACCCCGATCGTCTGCGCGAAAGGGACTGAATACTTGTAATACTTGGTACGGTACATCACTCGAGCATCCTTGCACAAAGTCGGCTAACTCCATGGAGCTCCACGGCCGAATGCCTTCGGCAGCGGAGCTCCCTGATGATAGCTGATCATGGAGTAGGCCGACGTTGCAGTCGGCCAGCTTGGCAGATCTCGATCTATCACAGCGTTTGTTTGGCTGAGTTGTACTTGAAGGTCTAGACCGAAAGTTCTTGTCTCTTTCGTTCGCGTTCGTTAGCGGTTAGCCTCTTATTTGGGAAGGGTCGGCTCCTCTCGATCTTTATTTAGACTAGACAGTAGACTAGAGACAGAAGCTGACCATAGGGTCTGCTGTGCAAACTTTGGCTTGATTGAGTCACCAAACTTTGGACTAAAATTTTAAAAGTCATTTTAGCGGATTCATATCCGATGCATTTAACTATAAGGCTGCCATGTAAATGGATGATGGCATCTTCCCTCTAACGAACGAAAGAGACAGACATTTTCGGTCTAGGCCTAGACCTAGATCTAGTCTAGACTAGATCTAGTATTGTACTTTTTTTTTTGAAGCTCCAGCCAGGGTCCAGAGCTAGACTAGGTAGGGACAGGGCCGGGTCATATGTCTCCACATCTTCACTTGAAATTGCATGACACACACAACAAAATATTCTATTGCCAAGCTTAAAGGTACTAATACAAAGTTTTGGTATGGGGTTATGAATTTGGTTCAAATGAACATATTGGTCAATTGGAGGCATATGCGATACTACGCGGTTGAAAACAAGTCTAAAGTTATGACATTGTAAATAATAAACTCTTTATGTTGTATAGCTCCCTCTCAAGGTCAAGATATTAATTAAGCTAGAACAATGTTTTTTTGACTAAAATTGACGGATTAGCTATTCCCGTTTGTAAATTATATCTATCGCAACTACATATTCTGAGATTTTCATGGTCGCAACTACCATATTGTACGACTGTAGGCGCTAGATCTAAGATCTATTTGAAATTTATCAAAATTTACTGGGAGCATCGGTAAATTTTTATATTCAATTTTTCTCAAAAGCAGAAATGTTTTAGGGGCTAAAGTTTCTAATGCTTAAAATACATCCACAGGCCGGGGCATCAAAATAAATCAAACTTGTGAAGAATCACTATCCGACCACTTTTCAAAATTTCCCCAAACTTTGTATTACCTTTAACTGTGATGGAATATGCTGCGACAGCATGTAACGGTGCATGCAGACAATAACAAATGAACATTTCTTAATTAAAATCTTATTTACATAAAAAAAATTATTGATATAGACTATGTGTACTGTGGGCTGTGGCCTTTGTGGATTAAGAATTAAATAAACGTTTTAAATCAAATAGTCTAATATATTTATCTGATGAAAAAGGTTCCATGCAAGTAGGAAAAACGTTGGGGGACTGCCAACTGGGACTTGGTACCCTCACCCAGTCAAAGATGCCCAACCATCTGAACACATCTGAGCTGTTTTCATCCAATCCTGGGTAAGTCTAGTATAACTTAGTACATAAGCATAATTTTTAGGCCAAACTGAAATGATACATCATAGTCTACATCATAGCTACAAATACAGTATAATACGTGCACAGACGTTAAGTTGCTCCAAACTCGGTAGATCAGAATTATATAGCAATTAACTGACAGATTTTTTAGAGTTGAAGTTGTCTAATTCTTTCATGCAAGACTATTAAAGTGAGAAGATTTTCCCCTACACTTTTCGAGTGTCATATTGATATAATTATCCATTTTGCATAATGTAAATGTATGTGCATGTATATAGTCATGTGGAAAAAATATCCCTTTAGCCTTTGGCTTTAGGCTTTACAATGAATCATATAATTCAATAATTAAATAGCCTTTTTTTATTGTATGCATGTTTGTGAAAATTGTAGGGAATTCCTTCAGAGAGGTGGTTCAAGGGTCGACTATACATCCGATTCAGCATTCAATTCTAGTCAAAGCTTCTCGAGTGGTGCAACAAACTCTCAAATAATGGGCTCTCAGATGGAGAATTCACAGTCTAGCTCCTTTGACCTCTTCTCTCAAATGATGTCCCAGCAACAGGGAGCCTCTCAACAAAATGAGGTACAATATTCAGTGTGACTGCTCATTGTAATTAAGTGTAAGGACTTTTCACATGAAGAAATGCCTTTAAGTTTGTTTAATTGAGTCCTGTTTGGTCAATCATTTATCACTGTTCCAAATGATTGTTGCAGATTCTATGATTCTATCAAAGTTTCAAGTATCTGTAATATCATATGGTTGGGTATCGTGTCAAGATACAATAATTTGAAGGAAATACAATAATAATAATAATAATAATAGTAGTATGTCTTGTTTACCCAGGGTAGCCTCATCAGTATTAATACTGTTCTCCATTAGTGCCCTGCAATAATAATAATAATAATAATAATAATAGCCTAATAGTCTACTCCAAATTTTATTAAACCGAAACGGAAATTCTTTTTGCCCAATTGATCATATCATTACCCTGGCTTTTGCCAAGCTACCATGAAAGGCGCTCAAGCATTCAAGGAATGGTTAATACAGTACATATTTTTTTGATATTCAAACAGTACTACATGAATTTGATTCACCATTTACAAGTTTTACACTTGTACAGTATGATTTATACAATAGCCATGATAACCTTATGGGCAATCAATTTTCGACAAAACAAATTTGACTCTCATTCTGCCTTTTTTTTTGTAATGTTTTTAACTCTGCTGTGGTTTCCCTTTGAAATTATACTTTGCATTTCAGAGCACATCTTCAAACTTCTATATGAAATATATGTCGAAGCCCCCACTGTTCCAGAAGGAAAATGCCTCAAAGAAGAGTTCACTTCCAAAGAGGAAGAGCTTCCAAGGAATGCAAGAATTCAATAGGGAAAAAGCAAAGGAAAGAGATGACAGGTACATTCAGTGCTGCCAATGTGTTGGATATAAAGGCAATGTGAAGCTGGCACATATCGTCTTTTTAGAGCCAGGAAGGTGTTAACTCATAGACGATAACACAGAATTGATGCCCTTCTGGCTCTGAACAGATGCTATTAGTTACTATTTCTCTGGTTTTATCTTTCTTACTTTTTTTCTTTTTTTCTGCTCATACAAGTTTTAACCGAATCCTGGACAACTCGCCACAAAGACAACCCGCCCCAAGACAACCCGCCACAATACCCTGGACATCCCGCCACAATACCCTGGACAACCCGCCACAATACCCTGGACAACTCGCCACAGCCTTTTCGGACAACTCGCCACACTTTTTCCCATCATGATTTCTAGATCTAAAATGAAATGAAATTGTCATTTTTCATGATTTTCGTGCTTTTATAAACACAGTCATTACAAAGAATAAAGAATAAAGTTGATTTCCCTAATTGTAACAATAATATATATTGAAATGAAATTGTCATTTTTCATGATTTTCGTGCTTTTATAAACAGTCATTAAAAATAATAAAGTTGATTTCCCTTGTAACAATAATATACTTTTGATCTAGAGGTCTATAACAGCTGCATTTTTCTGTCCCAGAATTTTTTTATGGTAGGATACTGGAAGCACTGGTCTACCAAACGCTTTTTCGCGGCGGCGGCGTTCTTAATTGGTGATGGCTCGATTACATTGCTTTTGTCGAGCGAGTGGATCAGATTGGATCAGCTTATTTTGAAGCCTTTATGTCAGGGCCTGCACTTTTTGAAAAAGTATGTTAAAGAGAAAGAGGAAGAAAGAACGAGTGGCCTGCTAGTTTCACAAATGATGTTTCAAAATATGCTCATCTTGGCGTAATTAAATGCCTAAATCCCCTGAGCTTACAGGGGCTCCGTCCTCTGGAACCCACTAAGGGCCCTAACGTGGGCCCATGGATGCTCATCGGACCGTAAGTATACATACATAAAACCCATGAGCTTCTGGGGGCTCCACCCCTTGACCCCTGGACCCCACTCCACGTCAATTTGCGCTCAACTCACTTTGCTCACTATATACGCTCTATCAGATTGTTGATACTCCACTTCAAAAAACGTTCCGCCAGGGGCCTGCATGTTACGTGTAAGAGTGGTGGCGATGCAGATTTTTCTTCTGCCCCAAAAACGTTTTTGCGCATTACGCCACTGCCCCTGGAGGGTGAGCCCCCTGGAATATTCCCCACCCCCCACCCAAGTGACCCAACCCAATCCCAAAGTGCTTCCGGCGCGCCAAACTGGTTGCGATGTCAGGAATGCTCGTCCCGGCCTCTTTGGTAATCCTGGCAGTGACAACAAATATATTCCCCACTGAAATATAGTACTACTACTACTTCACTACTACTACTACTACTACTACTACTACTAATAATAATAATAATAATGATGATGATGATTACAATTTAACGACGACGGTGATGATGATGACGACAACAATAATAAAAAGTACTAATAATAACTGCAAGAATCCAGACATTGTCTTCAGGGACAACAACAAAGTAAATTTCATCGAGGTCATCGTTCCCCATGACATCAACATCGCCATCAAAGAAAGAGGCGTCTCAAGTATGAAGACCTCAGGATAGAAATCGAGAGGATATGGAACGTTCCATTCAATTCAATTCATTTGATATCATTCTCCATTAAAAAAATATTAAAACATACAAACATGGTATATCTAGCGTTAAGCAATTAAGAAAACTCGTAAAATTCATAACAGTTATAATACAATTCTTTTTGTTGGATCATAATGCTAAAAGGCGTGGTCCTATTTTTGTTACTAAAAGTGTAATAGGCCTACTCGTAGTGGTAGACAAACCATTTTAGACTTATAACTTTAAATTGTATGTAGGGTATACTTAGTCTTTAGCTCATGTTTATTGTGTTTTAGAAATATAAAAATGTATATAATCATGTCTATGTATTTTATTATCATATACTTTGTTTTATATATTTTTCTGTATTGTGTTGTAAATATGTAGTGCTATCATACCCCTGAAGGGGGTCCATAGAGTCAAATGAAATTTTATCTTATCAGCGATCCTATCGCTTAGCGTAATATCCAGTCTATACAGGATCACACAGAACTCGCTCTCAATAAAAGATTGATTACAAGAAAAATGTGGGGTTAACAAAAAGGGCAATTAGCCTTATTAGCGTCAATCCCTTAGCAAGTATATACTGTATTGTTGAGAAAAGAAAAAAAGGGAAAGGGAAAGCAGAGGGAGCCTGAACACCAAGAAGAAGAAAAAAGGGAAGGAGAAGTGCATTAACTTAAACGTAATGTCATTTATTTTGACTGGAATACAATGATAGAATATGGGATTTATACAATCGTTTAAAAATACTAATTTATTTAGAGTTTTTCATATTAAACGGGATATTTTTCCATAAAACTGGCCCTTTAAAACATTAATTTGTACGGAATTTCAGGAAAATGAAAATTACCAGCATTACGAGTTTCATGAGAATGTATTTCATAATTAAATTTCAATTTACATGACATGGACCTTTGCAATAAACCCTTGCCACATAAACAGAAATATAGCAATATTTAATTATTTATATCACGAAAGTAACCCAGAAAATCTAGAAATAAACCACATTCCAATTTTATTTCGCGGGTCAACTGCCCACCCCCCCCCCCCCTAGTACGCCAGTGCTTCCAGTATCCTACCATTGAAAAAATTCTGGGACAGAAAAATGCAGCTGTTATAGACCTCTAGATCAAAAGTATATTATTGTTACAAGGGAAATCAACTTTATTCTTTGTAATGACTGTGTTTATAAAAGCACGAAAATCATGAAAAATGACAATTTCATTTCAATATATATTATTGTTACAATTAGGGAAATCAACTTTATTCTTTGTAATGACTGTGTTTATAAAAGCACGAAAATCATGAAAAATGACAATTTCATTTCAATATATATTATTGTTACAATTAGGGAAATCAACTTTATTCTTTATTCTTTGTAATGACTGTGTTTATAAAAGCACGAAAATCATGAAAAATGACAATTTCATTTCATTTTAGATCTAGAAATCATGATGGGAAAAAGTGTGGCGAGTTGTCCGAAAAGGCTGTGGCGAGTTGTCCAGGGTATTGTGGCGGGTTGTCCAGGGTATTGTGGCGGGATGTCCAGGGTATTGTGGCGGGTTGTCTTGGGGCGGGTTGTCTTTGTGGCGAGTTGTCTGGACCCCGTTTTAACCTTGTAGTGTAAGGACTTTCATTTTTGCTTTAAAAATTCAAAACATGGCAAACTAATTCAGTAGTTCTAATTTTTAATTTGTTTTCCCCCTGCTTATTTCTCACTTCTAATTCATAACTTCTAATTCATATGTGTTAGGTGAAGTGACATACATATCATTTTTCCAGATAGCAGTAATTCAATATTCAGATATGATTTATGAAGTACGGTGTAAATACAAACTGACACACAACTCTAATACAACACTCACATTAATAAGAACAATCCTCTACTGCTTGTCTGCTTTTGTGTGTTTTGCAGAGATCTGATCAATACTTTTATAGCAATTGTGAAAGACTGTGCAGATGAAGTCAAGCATGCTGCATCGTCAATAAAGAAAGATGTTGATTCAAACATCTCAGAAACAACAACTCGCACTGCCGCAGTCATGAGCAAAAGTAAGTCTACTTTAAAGGGAACCAATCACCAAAATATGTTTCGCCCTTGATGTAGGGGTCCGAATGGCTGTACTGTACTGTATTATAAATATAAGTTTTCAATATAATGTCTACAAAGAGATATTGCAATTTAAATTCATTCTTGTTGAAAAGTAAAACATCTTGTTAAGTAGACTAGTTAACGCACAAATACACACTGGAGTGAAATGAGACACACAGGGAATTCAAACTCGACTTGAGTTCTGTACGAGCCCTATATGTATAGGTTTTAAGTTATCTTTCATTTTCGTCATACTCCTCAACCGTGAACCTATAGAAGTCGGGGAAACTTTATTAAGGTTGAATTTATCCATTCTAGCTATACACAAATATTTATTTTTTAGGTGATTGGTACACTTTAAGATCATTTCATTTCGTTTTCATGAGTGTTGTGTGATAGTTGTATTGAATATTTGGATAAAATATGTGCCAGCTCAGAAAGTTTTTCCATTTTTTTGAAATTCTATATGTTTTGAAATTTTCTTAATATTTCCCTTTCTTTTATTTTGCAACAGTATGAATAGAAATAGCTAAAGATGAATTGAAGACATTTCCGTCTTTTTCACAAAGCTGAGAAGATATTTGAAGTAGCTTCCTTCCTGTACTCCAGTAATTGAATGAATGAAGTGTGAAATTAGTACCATGAGTCACAGTTTTTGCGTGTTCATTTTTTCAGTTGCAAATGAGCTGGCCCTTCATCACAGACAACTTCTTGATAGCCTCAAGACCAGAGCGGATCATGAAGCAAAACTACAATATTTGATGGACACAATTGCTTCTGTGAGTGTTGACATGATTATCTTAATTTTCCCATGTTTATGTTGTTCTTATAAAGTGTAAATGCAATATGTTTATCTTGTACTTGTAATTTAGTACAAAACCTCTTCTCCTTTCCCCCTCATTCACTGCAGAAAGGGTAAAGTTGTTATAGTCAAGAAAATTAATACACATTTACATACATGCCAACTGTTCAGATTAAAGAGGAATATTCCTCTTTTTGGGAGAAGATAATTATCATTTTAATGCAGGTGTTCCTCTTCCTGTACAAATTTGTCTGTAGTATTGAATAGGAGAGTTAGGATTGTTCCTCTTTTTTTTGAAAATAGCATAATTTGTACAGATTTCTGATTTTCAAATGTTGGCATGTATGCATTTATGATGTCAGAGATTACAGGGTACGGGTTACAATAGTTCAATCATAGCCAGAGGCATGTTAGAGATTGAGTCACATTCAGATAGTTTTTTCTGAGATTATCGTAATAATGACAAAGTTACACGAATCTGCTTTTTACAAAATCAATAAGTAATTTTTAAAATCAAATCGAGAGTTGTAAATATATTTTCATTTTTTTTTTCCTATTCTTTATTTACTTTTTCCATCCCAGAAAGATGCACAGATTCAGCTCCTTGAGTCTCAGCTAGCTACTGCCAGATCCGATAGAAATGAGCGCCTCCTGAAAGCTATGCTTGACATGTATACAGAGCAGCAAAATGTAACTATACAGCATCTAGATAAGGTCCACGAAGAGCAACAGAGCATCAAAGATCAGCAGAGTATGCTTCTCAAAGAAACCGAAAAAAGCCATGCCACCCTGAACAGGATGACAACAGCTACACATTCAAAGGGAGATGACAGTGAGAGAATATATCAGATGGAAAGAGAAACGAATCGTCCAACAAGTTCATCAGTACCTCAGATGTCGGCTAGGACAACTTCTACCAGGAATAGATATCCGTCTGGTTCAGGTTGGAGTGATGATGCTGAGCGGTCAAGAGTAACACCTGTGCAAACAGATAGCTACAACCATTCATGTAAAGTGCCTACTCAATTCCGGGTCAATCCTAACCAGGTGCATGCACAGAGTTCATCATATTACAGTTCTAGCCAACATGGAGTGTCAGATGATGTTGCACCCAGAATCGAGTGTAACAGGGGGTCTTTGAATACTTCATCACACCTTTTCCAGCATCCGCCAGCTAATTACCAGAACCAGCACCAGGTCCTGTCCAGTGGCAGTGCTGTGTATGCCATGCAACCTGTAATGAGACCGGGAAGTGTGTATCAGCCACAAGTATCATCTAACCCTGCTTCGTCTGAATATGGAGAGCAGCCAGGAAGCATGAGGAATTCTCATCAAGACTGTCAGAATCTTCCATCTTCTACCAGTTATTCAACTGGCAAGAGGCCATCTTGTTACAACCATTTCAATAACAAGTTCAGTAGCCCTAATTATACCAGTAGTGATCGGCAGCTGTGGTCCAAGAAGAATTTGAAGCCATCTCCTGTAGCGGCCATAGCTCCTCAAGCCCACAGAGAACCTTGTGATGATGCACTACAGGATACCCAGGTAGCTTCAAGGACAAGGAAGCAGAGCCGCCAAAAGAGATCTAGGAGGGGAGTACAAGAACCTAATCAACCACAGAGGAAATCAGCTCGTCTGTCAGCCAGGAACAGCCCTTGGAATGAAAATGGATTCTGTTCCTCGAGAGAGAAAAGATGGGAGGGGTCTAGAGCAGCCAGAAGAAAGAACAAATCTAAGAAAAAAGCAAGGTCATGTTCTGTTGCCCCATTAGCAAGAGAAAGCGAAAATCAAGAGGATGAGTCTGAAAGTGAAGGTGAAACAGCACCCATTCATTGGAAAGAGAAAGTCCCGTCTACCAAAAGAAGTGGTGCTCGAACCAACAAATCTATGAAGAAACTACCCGTCATGATGAAGCAAGTTCAAAAGCATTCAACAGTTCCAAGTACAAACACCAGACAGATTTCCGATATTAGTGCTAGGCAGATTGATTCTTCTGAGGATGATGAATACGCATTCCATGATGATCCTGAAGATCAACCAGCTACAACTTTCAAGGCTTTCCATACTCTGAAGAGGAGCACTTCATGCGGTGATGAAGTCAAGCATGAGCAACATGAAGTTTTCACTAAGAGGTTAGTTGGGATGAACAAGGGAAGTATTTTGTTTGTTTGTTTAAAAAGCAATAGTTCCTACAATGTTTTTATGCCATTATCAATGTTCATCCACCTTTTCTATCAGTTGAGGTTTATATGGTTTGTGTCACATTTTTTTGCTTGGAATATAGATCATGCCATATTACAATGTTGAGATAACTTAAAATTTAACAAACAAATAGATGCTTGTCTGATGCATGTAGGTTTACAGTGTCAGTGTCTGACATGCCGTAGGATACGTTGCTGTTATAAATGTCTATCACATAAGCATTTATTCTACCGTTACAGATCTGTAATCACATATTCCACGCCCAAGGTGATGAGACAGGGATGCACCTCTGTTCAAGTCTCAGCCTGCAATGAGAGACAAAGGAATAGTGCTACACAGGGAAGGCAAAATGCCAAAGACGGCTTATGGCGGGAAAGTAGAGTGTCTGGACTTTTCAAAAACCCAGGTGAAATTTGATTCAATATGATGATTTGTCAAAGCATCAGCTAAACTTTAACTTTTTAATTTATTGAAGAAATGTATAATTAGGTGACAAACTCAAGTTATGGGTTAAACAGAGTTATGACCTTGTAGTTAATTCTCAGGAAAGAATATGCAAAATTGTAAATTTACTTTGTTGTGGCTTTTATATCACTGTAATTAAAAGTCTTGATTACCTTTTTGTTCTCATTCTGCAAAATAAAAATTGACTGATGCCTTTCTTTGATATGGTTTGATATTATATGCCCAATTAGTGCATTTTCCTTTATTTGAAAGTTTCAGCATTAAATAGGTGATAAATGTTCTGCCATGGTAAAAGCAATGCTGAATCTTGCTTTCAAAGTTAGTTTAAACATTCATGAAGTAAATAGGATCAATCTGCTATTAGCCTTGGGATGGAACTGATTATGAACCTTGCAATGAATTAGGCCTACATTGAAATGAAGCAAATATAGTTTTGACTATAATGATAATTTTTTTCTTTTTCTTTTTCCAGTTGCTTCTTCTCAAGACATTGACATTTTGGATGCAATCCAGACATATACACAAAGTGAGGATGAAGAAAGTTCCCAAGAAATCCAGTTTTCCTTGATACTACCAAGTCCTCATGGTGAGCCTTCTGCTTTGACTCTGTGCTAGGGTCAAACATCTAAATTATCCTACCTTACTATGCTAGGTTCGGCTTAGAAACAGAGTAATGAGAATATTTATAAAAATGTGAGTATATATGGAGGCGTAAAGACAAAAAAATCCTGTTATAAAAAATGAATGCAAGATTTTAATTTTTCCTATACTTCTGCAACAATTTAAAAAAAAATATCAGCTGCATTACATTTACATTTTTACATTGAGGTCAAATATAATCACAGCAAGTGTGGAGTTATTTGACCTGCTGATAATGGATGAGTATTCCTTGACTATTAATCAACAAATGCCTCTGGGAGGTTCTGTAAATTTGTACAGTAATTTGCTTTATTTAGCACAGACAGCTAATTATCATCACAAGTATTGGTTAAGCAATATTTTTTTTTCCATCAAATTCTGAAGAGAAAGTAGTCTCCAATCTGAAAAATTTGTGATTCTAATGATAAAGAAAAAGAAGTATCATAAAAATAGTAAATGACTAAGGACGAAGGGGGTTACAGAACGAAAATTGAAAGTTTACTATGTATACGATTTCATTCATCTAGATGGTAAGAAAATGAAGCAGAGAAAAGAGAGGAAGAGGGTTAAAGCAGAAGAGTGCTTGAACATCTCGTTGCATAATAAAAGCATATCTGATTTTAAAATGTAAAATCTCGGCCATTCGCCCACCGTCGTCAAAGTTTACTTTCAAGATTCTCTTGTGACAAGTAACTTCGCAACCGTCAAACCTATTGTGACTAAAATTGGGGCACAGATGCACTTGGGGGACCTTCAAACTATGGTGCTGTTAAGGGTCATATGTGAAGGTCAAAGGTCATTAGTTAAAGTTTACCTGCAAGATTCTCTTGTGACAAATAACTTCATATTTGTTAATCCTAATGTGATCAAACTTGGTACAGAGATGCACTTATGGGACCTGTTGTAGTGCTCTAAAAGTTCATATGCTAAAGTCAAACATCATTTGAGGTCATATCACACTCTTGTGATATAACTTCACAACTGTAATCCTATTATCAACAAACTTGGGTCAGAGAGGCACTTAGGACAACTTCACACTACGATGCTGTCAAGGGTCACAAGCTAAAGTCAAAGGTCATTTGAGGTCATATATTAAAGTTTTCATGTAAGACTCTCTTGTGACAAATAACTTTGCACATGTTTATTGTATCATGACCAAATTTGGGTCACATGCTAAGGTCAAAAGAAATTTGAGATCATATGTTAAAGTTACTCGCAAGACTTTCTTGCCACAACTAACTTTGCAACCATTAATCCCATTGTGACCAAATAAGTTTGAAGCCAATAAAGACTTATTTCTAAACACAATCATGGCAACTGTCAGGGAAAGATTACTTTGCATACCCAGTACATTGTTCAAAGTGCAACCAAATTTTTGTATAATAAGGTCACGTGTGGGCGAGACACAATCCGGCAATTACCTAGTTTTCAATGATTCATGGTTATTTGTTTGATGTGATCCTTCAGACTTGCAGAGAAAGAAGAATCCTGGTCCACCCCGCTGGTCATCTGTGATGTCACCATCAGTGAACAGCCGGTACACTGAGCAGGTTGTTCCAGATGAATCTCAACCCAAGAGATCATCCAAGGTAATTATAGTAATAGAATAATATGTTTGTAGGACTAATGAGATGATTATGGTGTCATTTTTATTGTTTTCCGGACTGGGCTTTAAGCTGTCTCCATTCCAGTTTAAAAAGTCATTTTCTGTTTTCTTTTAGGTTTCATGTTGTATAAGTGCACTTTTTTTCAAAGTGATAGTTAAGTATTTTCTTGCTTTTACCACAGCTATTTTTCAGTTTACCTTTTTGAGTTTTCGAAAGCTAAATGGCCCACAGTTGTCGTGTAAATTTTGGATGCCCGATTCCAATTTTAAGCTTAAAAAGAAATTGGTGCAACTATGATTTGATTTTGTATGCTACGTAACTATGAGATGATTTTCAGTTATGAAAAAGAAATATATATTTTAAATATAAAATAAAAGTTTTTAAAAAAGTTTAATTAATTATTATTGTCTTAAAAATGTTAAAAATTGACTTTTGTATATACATGAAAATGCTTTCATAATTCAAAACCTTTTTTGACTCACTTCTTTTCAACCTCTGCTAATGAGTGCTGCACCATCATCGTTGTAATAGATAAATGGAATGATCTTTCTTCTTTGCTCGTAGAAATTGACGACTACTCGTAAACGAAGAATGATATATGGATCAAGGGATGACGTTAGGAAGACTATGGCTCAGCTTGTCACCCCTATCTAGTAGAAGAAATATGACAGCTATTCCTACCTGCCTCTCTGTCTAGATTGTCAACTGCTCATTTTGAAAACTTGTATATGTAAGTACATGTATGCCTGTCATTCATGCATAGTTGTACAGACATTGTTTATGTAACATATAATTGATGTTCCATTGGAGAAAGTTTGTTGCATTGAATGACACCTCAGGTGCACATTTTGTTGAAGATTTTGTTTCATGAACAATATTGCTGTTACGATGAGATTTACACTTTGGAATTACTAAATCAAATACATTTGTTGATTTTCTTCATGTCTACAAAATTTGGATGAGATTTTTTTTTTAAATCAAGGTTGCACCAATGCCTATTATATATAGTGAGTATGTACTTTATTACATTATTCTAAATTTCTAATGAACACTTTCAATAGATTATTTGTGTATTTTTATTTTGTAGGCTATGTATGCCTCCTTGGAATAATCAAACATTTTCTGGTTGTGTAGTGATGTTTATGAGCAATAAGTTGGTGCAATAACTTCACTCGTATTAATGAATTTAAAACCTTACTCAGATCATTTATATTCTTTTACAGTAGCCGACAAGAAAATTATTGCAATGATCTTTGTTGAATTGTTTCCTCACAGTTGGGTTAATCGTCTTATTTGCTTGATATGTTCGTGTTTTTACAATTATCCGAGATGTAGGGATAAACAATAACAATTTTGGAGATGGCTATGAAAAATCATATAATCATCAAGAGCATGTAGTCAAACTCATCAAGAGAGCTACCGATATTAGCTCAGTTATTGTTGGATGTTGATTTTTTTTTCCCTTCTAAATGATGAGTCTATTATTTGAATAAAAAAGATGTTTGTTTATGAAGACAAAGATGATACACAGATTATATAATGAGAGTTTATTGAAGATACAAAATAATATATTATGGATGTATATAGTTGTTGGAAATTCTATCAACTTTAAAAGTAGACAAATATTTTTGATTGGGTAATGACTTATAGCATGGATTATGTATACTTTCTTCAAGAACAAGTATACAAACTTGTCAAGCGAGCTACCAGTATAAGCTCATTACAGATACATTGTTGGATGATGATTTATTTTTACTTTTTTTCTTTTCATTCTGAGTGATGAGTCTGTTGTTTGCAGAAAAAATAGATGCATATATTTTTTCCAGAAAAAGATAATATATTAATTATTTATTGAGAGTTTATGGAAATCACAAAATAATGTACTATTGCTGTATATAGTTGTTGGTAATTCTATTAACTTTCTAGGTAAAAGAAGTTTAATTTGGTTAACGACTTATGACATGCATTATGTATACTTTCTATTCGATCATATTTTACTGATCTATGATGTAATTCTTGGGCAGGGGAAATCTACACCTTGTCACTTTGATGTTTGATGTTGATTTTGTGTTGTTTCCCATCCATGTCAGAGTATTTGAGTAACCTGGACCGTGACTAGATTGTAGCAGCAGATTTATTTGAAAGACGCTTTGATAGCTAAAAACTTTTTCAAAGTTCATTGTTCGAAATGAACAATGCACAATAAATGATTACAGAATGATAAGGGCACTAAAAATATCTTGAAAATGCTACTTTTTCTTTTTTAAAACATGATGTATATGCCAAAAATGTGCATTATGCACATTCCTTCTTTTTTGAAAAAAAAAACTCAAAGTGGCTCTTTAAGCTTTGTTATGCCTTATAGTCATGACATAATTCATAATTGTGCATGTGTTAATTGTTGTTGTTTTTCACTAGAAATACTTGTATATTGATACAAAATATATTTGCTTTATAATGAAAATTATATTATAGAGAGAAAGATTACTTAGTAGAATGTTGATCATTTAAAAAAAAAAGTGAATACAACTCTGCCTTTCATGCAAATCTATAGATATCCTGTTTATCCATCCATGTCATGTTTACTTATGAGAAACACAGTCGAAGTAAAAATGGAAATGTGTCTAATGTAACATGACACCTTCTTTCTTTCTCTCCTGATACCTCTGCAAGGATCTTGTTGCATTGAAAATCGCTCTTGAATTTACTGTGAGGCTAATTTAAGTTGCATGGATCTGAAGATTGCACCTGTATTATTGTGACACCTATTAGTTCCCTAGTTGGATTAAGAGGTGATGAGATGATGAAATGCTTGAGGGGTGCAGGCAGTGCACACTCACACAATCCTCAAAATTAAGCAGCACCTTTAAGCACCAAATCTAAATGAATAATTTTGTATTCTCTCTCGGTCTCTCAGAGATAGGTGAGTTTCTAGTCATCCTGTGTAGAGATTCATTTCTAAATTTTATGACGTGTGAAAAGGAAAAGGAATCACACTCCTTGAAATGAAAATTATAGATAAACAATTAAATCCATATTTTTATTATTTGCATTCAATAAATGTGATTTTTATTTTATTCAGTCATTCTGGAACATGTAAAATTCTTGCCAAATTAATCATTTACACATTTTCGAAACAAATGTAAAAAAGAAGTACAAAATATCCCCATTTTATTAGAATGACAAGAGACCTGAAAATCAAAATTTCATGCACATGTTTATTAAATATAAGATATATTTACCACTGGCTTGTCTCATACATATTCTGAAAACAGATGTGAAACCTTATTCGGTCGACATACAGAAGTGCTCAAGGCATTTTGTATGAATGAACAAGCTACTTTAAGAGTGAGTGTAAGGGGATTCCATGTTGATAATCAACATTATGTGATGTACTATTTACACTGAAGCTGATAGACATTTATGAGATTTCTGTCAGCTCCCAATTTCTCAATGTATCAAGTGATAGGTACATTCTGTTATAGTTGTAACACATCTGACAAATATACGCCAGGCCACGTATGCAATCCAATTAAGGAATGTTCCTTCGCTTCAAATTGAATCTTGTTATCTGTTTTTATCTTGTTATCTGCTTTTATCTTGTTTATATGGCACCTTTCTTGCCATTCCAGGTGTTTGAACTGAAATAAAATTTAGCCTTGCTTTTGAAATTTATGATGAAGTGTGTGTAGTTTATCCAAATGTGTGTTGGGAAATTGTGCAGGTATTTAAAAAGATGGAAATTAAATCTATTGGTAAGTTTTGGATTTTGGCTGAACACCATCTCATTCTGAAAACTCTTGTTTGTATTTAAAAAAAAAAAACTAGTACCTGTGTATAGATTAAAAAAAATGAAATACCTATTTATTGCATTTCGATTCAGTACTCAACTTAATTGCAGAACTACAACATGTGAAGATGTACATTCAACATCAGCATCATAATACAGTGTAAGAATCAATAGTATTTCCTCAACATTGTTGTGTCTAAGACATAATCAAATTCTCTTTCTGAAATTGTTTTTGCAATGGATGCATGAAAAGCAAAAAAGGAATCAAAACAAATATAGCAACACTACATTTCCCAGTATAAGTGAGAGCAAGTATATGGCACATTTGAATGTGTGTTTCATTTCCAATATTGCAAAGTGAGGAGATTGCATATCTCCCCCAATTATAGATTTTATTGCACTTGCAATAAAAGTTTGCAGTAGGCAAAAAAAATGTCAAGACTTCGAAGAGAACATTTATTGAAACACTCATATCAGGGCAATTCTGATTTTTAAATTTTCTCTTGTTCCAATCTTACCTTCCGCAAATTAAATGTCTAACAGGATGGATCTTATTCAGAGTTTGCAGAAAGAAAACTGAAACATGTACAATAGCTAGGTTCAAAATGCCAGGTATCTGATTTAGTTCCTCGTGAATAATATAATTTTGTCATCGATGTCTTTGTATGACTAAAGTCTCGGGTGCTTAATTGTACACAGGTTTTCAATCTTGATAAAAGGGAGAGCAATGGATCGCATGGGTTGTGGTATATCAAATGAGTATTTGAAAATCTAAGATCTGAACTTGCCAGCAGGTATTAAACTATGAGATCCACATTGAATGAAATATTGGAAGACATATTGGTAGTCCATTAGTTATGATGCAAAGTGGTTTTTGATAACTCAAGGTTGAATTTCAATAGAAATTGCATTTCCTTGCATTGCGATTTTGGAAGATGAGATCCTTGTTTCTTTAACACTGATGTGTTCCTTTCAATACTTTTGTTTCTGTGACTTTATTTATCCTTCAAAAAGTACGTACATGTAAACAGTACTATCAGAGAAGTTACGATTCATCCTTGATCTATTAAACCTCTTCCCCCCCCCCCCCCTTGAACTAATAATGGGTCTTTCTTGCATTTTTGCCTTGGAGATAATGGCTAGAATAAAATGCTCTCGTAGGAAGTTTTTATTGTCATATTCCTTCTATATTAATTGCCATAATTTACCTGAATTCATTAATGCAAGACAAATAAATAAATTAAAAAATGAATAAAATGTTGCTCTCTTTGCAATATCTTGGGTGTTAATACGCAATGTTGGTAAAAGTGGAAGATGTAAATAAAAAAATAAAAAATGAAAATAATGATAATTCCCTGTACTTTCAGATTCAGAATAAAACCTCAAAATCACTGCAGAATACCAGTGTTTTCTAGAAATTACAAAAGAAAATGTTGGTTTTCCGGATAGGTATATCCGACCTTTGATGATTTTTTTTTTGTAATGTATAATTAATTATCAAGTTGCACCATTGAAACCATTTTTTGTTGGTGTGATGGATGAACAACAAAATCTGAAATTATGAATCTTGAAAGTTTACAAAGCTTATTTTATCGTAACATACAAAAGATATGATTGGTTTGGTCTCATATATATACCGAGGGGAAAACAAAAATTCACCGAATCTTATTCAAAAGTTTGACCAGCACCGTGTAGTATAGCTTATTATAGCTTATTATAGCTTATTTGCTTCTCCTCCCCATGATGATGGTCCCACACACTGTTTACATTGTTCTTCTTCACGTATTTCTTACCGGATCATGACACGTCATCAATTAAATTGTTTGGAAATGCTTGCAAATATTATCACTTCTAAGTACTATCTCCAATCACCTCGTGTGATGACCGTTCATCACCGGCCTCTTCTCACGCTTCAACCTTTCCCCATCAATCACCGTCTCAGCATCTCTTCCAAGGAGATGGGTGATGCCCCGTTTGAGAAGGCTTGCTTCCTCTGCCATCCTCTTGATCCTCTTCTTTATCCGTCCAACAGCCGTGTTCGACGATAGGGGTTTCAAAGGATTTCGTGTCGTCGTTGAACCGCCTTTCGTGTCGAGCGATATTTTTGGAAACGGCTCATCATCGGCAAGGGCTACTGAGATGGGGAGGGTTTGTCCTTTATCAGGTTGTACTTTATTTTGGTCTCCGGCTGGAGGTTGAATGATGACTTTGCTGCTGAGTGCTGGATCGTCATTGTGAAGACGTTTAACCCGGATTAGCTCCTGAGAGGAACGAAAATATGAAGAAAGAAAAAGGGAGGATTTAATGAGCCTATTAAAATACTGAAAGATTGTAAATGAGTTTTTTTAATGAGAGATTCTGAATGCAATATGGAGAGAGAGAAATAGAGAGAGAGAGAGAGAGAGAAAGAGAGAGAGAGAGAGAGAGAGAGAGAGGGGGGGGGGATTTATAGCTTGCATAACACTGGTTCAATTGCCCTGTATGAATCGAGGCCTGAACGTCATTACGTATACTCTCCTGTCAGCTACATTGTCGCTCATGTATTTGATCTTTGAATATCTGATCGTTGAGGTTTGAGTGACAAGATACTAATTAACGTACTCTCCTCCAGGTTAAACGCATCGTGAGCAAATGCTGTGATTTATAGCACTCTTGTAGAGCTCAAACTTTTGTATATACCTAACTAATCATTATGTGTATACACGTAGACGGAGAAAGTTTGTGTGAGAGAGAGAGAGAGAGAGAGAGAGAGAGAGAGAGAGAGAGAGAGAGAGAGAGAGAGATATATATATTTGTATATATAGAGAGAGAGAGAAAGACAGAGACAGAGAGAGAAAGGGGGAAAGAGGGGGATAAATATATATAGAGAGAGAGAGACGCAGAGATGAGACGATGTGGATGTGTGAAGGTTTTAGGAGAAAGCATCATGTTCATTTTCTTATTATGCTGCAATTATGTTTGATTCTTTTCTATATTTGTAAAATTGCTAAGAAAATGCAATTTAACCGATGTGAATAAATCAAAGACATTGTAATTATATAAAATGTAATTATCCAGAAAATTAAAGGGACACTGAGTACATTTTTGCCAGCTCGAGGTTATATGTATCAACCACCTTTTGGGCATTTTTTTTATCAACCTATATAGTCAAATTAAATTATGGTCAAAATATAGAATAACTATAAAATGGACAAAATATTAATCAACTTGTTTTTTTTTTAACTGCCCAAAGTTGATAACCCTCATGGCACAATTTTTACCAGTATTTTTAGGAGTGTAACTCTCTCGCTCTCTCTGAAGATCATAAAAAAAGATTTTTAAGAGAAGAAATGAGGGAGTTCATTTCTTTTTATTCATTTCATCTCTAATATTATAGAGTGCAATAGTGGTATGTGACTGACTGAGCAACTCCAAGGTATGATGACAAGATAAACATGATGATGATTCACAGCTATCTCCCAAAGCAAGCCGTCATTCTTATCATATACCTGCTGATGTGAAGAACACATGGTATTGTATTTTTATATTGTACTAATACTTCAAGATACTACTGTTTTAACACCCAAAGAGTGCACTAGGTGCAGGCCTAGATGTGTTGCAACAAGGAGATGGTGTATGTAGGCCTATCGTAATAGGAACTAAATTATTCAAAGAACCCGGATTGTCGATGGGAAAGTGCGGTATTGAATACTCCGTTGGGACGAAATTGTGATTAAAATCGCAGGCAGCCAAGCGAGAACTGGTAATTATGGGACAAGATGAAATGAGTTGCTGTCACTGCTTTTAGGAAGAATATGGAAGGAAAACAAATATTTAAGGGAAACGAAGACATGAATGTGTTGGTGGGGAAATGGCCATGGCTGAATGATAAAAGTTGATAGTTTGGTCGTCTTTATCATATTGTCAGCTAAGCCAAGATGCATTTCAAATTATTTAGTTCAGTCTGACTTTTGACAAAAAGTACTATTTTCCTGCTTCGAAAAATCACATAAAGACTTTCAAAACTTCAACATACGATGGCCTTGTGTGTCAGCTATTGAATTATACGAACATGCCATAATTGACATGATTGGAACATGATTTCTATGAGCTGTACTTAATTGAATATAACTTGCTTACTAATTAAAAGATTAGTCATCATTTTATTTTTTAAAGGTATCTGAAGAAGTTATTCATGAATTTCAATTTCTGCACATGGGTTATGCTCTTAGCGTGCAATCTTTTAGAAAATCCCCTTTTCGCTAGCTTCACATCTATGTCATTTCTAATTCTCAGATATTCGTGTTAAAAAAGGAAAAATAGAAGATGCCAGAAGGCAAGGTCTGCAAATATCTGTGGTATTTGCACTGCGTATACCGTCGCACGTGTGGAGCCAAGTTAGAGATCAATCGCAAATCGCCCTTAATAAATAGAGTGCAGACAAAAATATGTCCCCGAATCTGCCCGGGGTGCCTGGCTATTTCCCCCAATCTAAAACCATGGCTAGTTTAATATTGATACATCCGTCGTTACGTCCAACGCCATAACGGCGGGCTATCCAATATTCTTCTGCAAACCCAATAATAAGGCTCTACAAATAATATCTTCGCCATCTTGATAAATTGCTATACAATCTGGTGTTTCCTATTTTAGAATTCTATCGCGGAATATAGAATGAAGTGATTTTGTGTGGTGCAAGGAATTGAAGACAGTAAGTGGAATTGCGCATTCTTCAATTTTTATCCGAGACAGTATATATATCCATATTAAGATACATAAATGGAGCCTAAATAGAAAATTACAAATCCATAATTAAAGATCGGACCGGTGTGTACTCCCCCTGTCCATACATTCCGGTGACGTCACAATCGACTATGAAACCTCAAAATAGGTTCACATCAGATTTAGATATAGCATTGCTCAATGTTGTTCTGTCTGTTAACAATTATTATTGTCCCATGCCATTAATGATATGCCATGTTTTTAATATTATGATACTGCATGTCTATGAATGTCTTGAATGATATAACGTAACACATGAAGCTTAATCAATGTATAAACATAACTGTATATCGCATTGAGTTGGTTTGGGTATTTAAAGCCTATATAGTTTACCCTTCTTATACTCAAAGAAAATTGCGAATCGGAGATCGGAGCAATACCTTTTGGAATGCAAAGTATTAGGATGTATACACTTTTTGTTTGTTATTGACATTTCCCCAAACAGACTTTTTCTAAAATACAATTTTGTATATTTTATTTCTTTATTGACATTTTTCAAGCAATATTGATGTTTGTATAATAAGAAGGAAATATGAATTCGCTGTTAATCAATTGGCACATGCAGAGTTTCCACCCTCATCCTCTAATGAAACACAAGCATCATTATTCTGCATCCAAGTGTAACTTGGAATGTTTAGATCAAACAAAAAAGTCAATATCAATTGCTTTTTGACGAATAATTTCTATTCTGTCCCTAACAATTTATAGTCGTTGATTATTTTATCATGGATAAAGTTGAAAGCAAGATGTTTACTTGTTACTCTCTGTCAAAGTGACCTGTTTATCCCGGCGTTCTGCTGTAATAGCATCAAATATTAATGAAGTTAAACCCCTTGTCTCCGAAGCACCGAAACCATCCATCTTCGGTTCGTTACCCACAATAATTAAAATTGTCAGCTTGAAACTGATGTCATAGTCGGGGATAGAAACATGCATTGATCAGTCTCGAATGTTTGCTGTTGAATGATTCTCGCGTTGTTTTGAATATGGAGTGGTTTGAACTATATTTTTTATGAAAATTCGTTCGTGATTGTTGACAATAATTGGCGATGGGAAAAGATATTTACTTTTAGAAGAGCGAGAGAGAGAGAGAGAGAGAGAGAGCGGAGAGGAGGAAGATGGGAGAGGTAGAGAGTGAGAGAGAGAGAGAGAGAGAGAGAGAGAGAGAGGGGGGGTATAGTGGTGGGTGAGAGAACTTGAAGGTAGAGTTGAAAAGGAGAATGCAGGAATATACACAAAATAGGTTGTAAACAGTTTCCATAACGACGACAGAGTATAAACTTTTCAATAATTTGCTAGCCTATATGTCTTTATTATCTTACCAACTATGAGCTTAATTATTACTGAAATTGAATTTTTTGGTGATAAATTCGATTACCAAAAAAACAATCTTTGCCAATGATAGAATCATGTATTATGAATCCAGCAAAAGGGTCACAATAATCTATAAAAATAAATGGCCTATAGTAACATTCTCTTTAAAAGTAATACGTATTTCATTAGCTTGAAATGGATGACATACTGTATGATTAAGAGTAATACTTCAAGAATAAAACAAAACAAGAATACTTTTAAAGAATATAACAAACATGCCCCTATCAGCCAGTTTCGATAAACACAATAACATTTTACAGATTCCAATATTATATCAACCTATCGGAACAATAGACAGTAGTATCTATGTTTCGATATGTTATGATACATTATCTTGCAAATACAGCTCAGTGTATTGTGGGGGAAGGATGGGTAATTTCCACTATTTACATATGCTTTTAGGTATAGGAATAGGACCCGTAACACTGCTGAATATGGCATTGCGAACCCTGCATGGGCCATGTGAACAAATATTTTCTTCTTTTTTTCACCCGATTTTTAAATCTTTTACATATTTTGAATTGTCATTAAAATTGATGTATAAAAGCATTAGTCTAAGATAAAAAAATTACCTAGGTATAGAATATTGATTTGGTTGCAAATAAAACTAAAACTATAATGTACAGTCCCGAATAAATAAAATAAAATTGAATGCATTTATTTTGTGTATAATACCGCTTATACTCATCATGGTTGCAGACTGTTCTCAGTTTACTTCGTCAAGAAAAATGTTGGTCTACTTTATTGCATTATGCCAACAACAAAAAATACCTTTATAATTGATTACAGTCTCTCATTTTAGTCATCATTAACTTGACTCAGGAGAGGGAAACAGCTATAATCATAACATTAACTTTTTGTGGCTCCTAAAAATGACATAAAATGCTTGAAAATTCCATGTTATCAAACAAACACGATTGAAAAGAATTTCGAAAAATCAAACTTAGGTATCTCAATAGAATATCCATCAACTGCCGAAAGGTGCATACATTGGAAGGACGTATTCCAAACATTATAGGATATTCAATGGTATATTAAATTGTCCTTGAGTTGATTTTTTCGAAGTATTTGCGATCGTGTTATCTCTTTTTAGCCAAAATTTATTTTAAGCAGTCCTGTAAATGCTGTGTTCTCTTCCCCTCCGTTTATTCCTTTAATGAATAACAAATGTTACCCCAAATATAGACATTTTCTTCACCATTCAGTAGTTTTACTAATCTGTAGAAATGCAAGAATTTCAACAACGACATGTTAGTCAGGTTAACGAGCCATACTATACATGTATCACGTAAAACATGATTATATAACAAACAAAAAACAACTTTAAAAATCTTACATATAATATCATAAAAGTAATGAAAACATAAGCCTACCTCCTCCCCCGAGACCAGCATCAGCAGAACAAGAAGAGACAACAATGCGACCGATTTCTGTCCAACCATTCCTAAGAAAAAATGGTTAATCGAGTCAAACAGTTTTTAACCATATAGGAACAGCTTCGAGATATCCAACTATTATACTTTAAAGTTCATTTGCTTAGAGAGTCACAAGTCTACGCGAAGATCAGTCGGCGAATGAAGATTTCAAAAACCAACTAGGGCAATTACTATTGCCTTGCATCTCCACCACCCATTTAAATGTGCGAACAACAATGACGCAAACTTGTCTCTTATCCCGCAATAACACTATCTTCTTCCTTAATTAGCTTCCTTTGATAAAGATTGGTCACCCACAAAGAGCAGCCGAGAAGAATTAAGTGAAGATCTACCAGTTTCTTGCTGAGGATTCGTTGCATTCGATCTCCGAAGCTGAAACATGCATTTAGAATGGAATCGATGTCTGCGGAAATGACTTCGTTAATACCCAATGCTTGGTCAGTCATGAATTGAGAACACGACCGTCTGGGTTAAGAATATTATAAGTGGAAGATTCTCGAGAAAAAAAAGTAACACTAGAAGAATTCCCGCCTTTGTCTAATCCATGGTCACTGTCGTCTGCGCGGTGGTTGAGGTAGGAAAGTCTTTATTGGACGAGAGTAAATTTTCCCGCCATCAGATGTGAGCAGATGGTTTGTGCGTGATGTCGTCTGCTCCAACAAACACATATCGAGATCGATACGCACTACGAGTGATGCGTGCTGCTCATCCAAGGCACGCTTATTGCAAGATGGAGCGAACAGAGATCACATGCGGAGAGGGATAACATGAAAAGTCTTAGGAATTAAGAGTCATGTGGATAATGACAATTTGAAATAAGAAAAGAAGAAAGAGAGAGAGAGAGAGAGGAGAGAGAGAGAGAGAGAGAGAGAGAGATGGAGAGAGAAGGAGAGATGGAGAGGGGGGGGGGTGGGGTTCAGTGCATGGCATCTTTTGTTGGGTCACAATTACTGTATATTTTATAATTTAGACCATTGTCTTACAATATCTTCAAACTAATGAGATCACTCATTAAAAAAGTGGCTAGTTTTTATTTTCTAAATATCAAAATGTTGGGAACTATAAGCATAAGAGTAACCCAGATAGTAATTTTCTCTTGTGTGACGTTGCCGATCCTCGTTCATGTATGGTTCAGCACTCCGATTCCCTGTAGATATATAATACGGTCATTCATTTTCAATACTTTTCATTTTTAAGAATTCAACCCATATCTTTAAGTTTTATATTATACATTGGCTATGTTTCAGACATTTTAGAAAACAAAGCTTTGTGCTAAAAACGTAGAAAACGATTGTTTTGAAAATGGACCTGAGGAAAATCTGACAATCTCTAAAGCGCGACGCTTAAAGTTGATCCGTATTCATTATGATTTACACGATATGAAATAATGATAAATAAATAGCAATGGTCTCAAGATTATGGCAATGAATATGTCTTTTTTCAATGACAATATAATGATATACGATCTACCCATAAACACTCAGATAATAATATTCAAGCAGCAATGCAAGCCGGTTCAGAATACGCTGTGCGGTATTAAACGTTTTCTTCGCCCATAAGCCAATAAAGACGTGGTTCGATGGGTTCACGTAATCCTCTTGAAATTGGATAGATTTTAAGAGGTCAAAATAATCTCATTTAATAATTAAAACTGTCCAATTACTGTATTTATGTGCTCAAAGAAGTTGAAGAAAAAGCTTCACAATCGTTCCACTGCAGGGGCGGATCCAGCCGGCGGCAAGGGAGGGGGCCGAATTCGTGAGAACATAATTTATTTAGCGGCGAAAGAGCCGGTAAATATTATTCGCTCGGGGGGGGGGGGGGGGGGGGGAGTGAGCACTAATTATTTGAAAAATCGCACCCCCCCCCCCTTGAGCACCAAGGGAGTGGGCCAATCTAAAAAAAGGGGTCAACAAAATTTCCCCAGGGGTGTGGGCCCTGCCCCTCCCCCTGGATCCGCCACTGTTCCACTGTATCTTACACGGCATAACTATAATTGTGACTATAACCCATATCTAAAACGAATAGAAATTAATAGATTTTCAATTTGTTTCTTCAGGAAAAGGATTGAAAAAAACACATCACTCATACCACTAAGAAGTAGTTGGTCATCATTTTGTTTTAATAGTGGGGGGGGGGGGGGTAGGTATAAATACCAGTACCTACTTATTTGTTCTATCCAAATCAAATTGAATTCGACACTGACAAGCGATTAAGATCGAATTAATTCCTGTATACCAGCTATCTTTCTATCCCCCACTCTCTCTCTCCCTCTCTTCCTTTGAACTTCAGTCCTTTCTTAGAGAGGTCAGTCTCATAACTCACTACATTTAAATTATAAACTCCAAATGAGATCAATTTACTTCCATTTTGATTACAGTATTCTTGGATTGCCAATCCCTTATAATTATTGCCCTTTTCACAAGACCCTTTTGTGTGGTTTACAAGAATCTGAATTGAATGGACTGCTATTTCAAAATGTGCTTGATAACACTAGCCTGAACAGTCGATAAATGATAGTCAGTCGTGTAGATTGTAAATAAAACACTTGTTATGATAAGTGATGAATTAAAACTTGTGAAAATGTTTACTTACATTTTCCATATCAAAAAGGGCAAACAAAAATAAACTGAATATCGACCAGACGGCCAATGGTAAAGGTGAATAGCATCAACAAAAGTACAGTATTATTTTTGTTTTGACAACAAGATTTATGCAATTATATTTTGTGGTTTTGGACATTCTAAAACTAGTTAATCTTTTAATATTTGATAGAATGTGGTTTTCCCTGCAGTAGTACTTCGTAAATGGGCGAATTGCAGCTACTTTGTGTCCCATACATGACCAATTACATCTCAGATTTTAGAACTATCTGATTGATCATTGCCCTACTTGCCCCAAAATACTATTTCATGAACATACTTAACACGATACACAGTTACAACTTCAGATCACGAAAGAGGTCTTGCATAATATCACTTTATTCTTGATACACATCGCTGATATTGTGATAATGCTCGGTATTGACATACACCTGCTTACACAGCCTTGTATATTATTTCCAGAGGAATCACCAACGTAGCAACAGCACACAACTTCTCTAGGTTTATATGGGGAAAAAAAGAGGAAAAGTCCATTGATGACTCTGCTATCATCAGGTTGATAATGTAAAACCATTACAAACACAATTAAATCAAAAAAGATAGTCATTGATAGCAGCATGCAGAGTATTCTTAAAAGCTTCCCAACTGGCTTGACATAATTCACTGATCTATTGAGTGCCAAAAGTCAACCTCGCCATTCTGTTCAAATTTCTGTAACTCTGTATCAAAATCACTATAGAAATTGAGTGAATATCAATTTCTTCAAAAAATGACAAGTTTTACATTCTTAATGAGGTTACTAATGCACGGTAATTGTATAGGATGAAGAGGTCTAAATTTGGCTATCACTAAACCATTGGATCATCTCAATAACTTGAGCTTCCCAAAGTTAAAGTCTGCTTTAGAGAAGATCGGAAAGATACACGGCTTTTATAAATATTGCTAATGGTCAAGCAAAAGAAACCAGTGGCACCGCTATAAAATGAAATATAAAACTGAGATCAAAAATTTAAATTTTGACAGAGAAATAAGTTTTTCATAGTATTTTTGACCACATAGAAGCGGGATAAAGGTAACAATCACACAAAATAGATATTGACTTTATTTTCTTTGGTTATCTAATTAGGTGTTTTGGATAAGTCATTCTTAGTCAAGGATTTTTATTTATTTATTTATTTATTTCGTTTTATTTCAGCAGGGTAGCCCCTCAGTAGTTAAAATATTGTTATACTTGGGAGCACTGATAAATTATCCATAGAAACATGTACACATGATAGACCAATACAAGTAACAAATATATGGGAGAATACATAATATATGCCCATCTACTTATACATCTATTATCCTATTGTGCTTTATAATTAAACAAAACATTCTATGGTGAATGGTTTGGTACTTGATTTCATGTATTCTAAAAAAATATGAGCAATTTTATAACCCCCATTTCTGATATACACCTCAAATGTATCCCCTCTACATTCAAATGCATGTATACACCTATTCCATCATGCTTTTGAATTATATATGCAAGAAGAAAAGGGGAAGGAACAAACACCTATTTCAAAGGGGTGGAACAAACATATATTTTAAATAATTGTATAAGTAAATGCTAAATCAGTATATTGTATCCATTCTAGCCCCATATAATCAGATAGTCTAACACACATAAATAAATCCTTAATATTTTTCATCACACGAGTGTCACATTAGCAAAAAGTATGTTCCATTTTTGTTCCGATCTAGCTGATCATGAGAAAATGAACATTGAGAAATGAACATATATATATAACAATTATATATATAAATCACTATGAAATAGTTGATTTTTTTAACATAGTCTGACAATAAAAAAAATGTAATTAGTCTGTATTAATAATACTATGCATAGATACCAATGAATATTCACAACAGCAGCTTACATAACACATCAACATTGGAAACATGTGCTTTGTTAGCACCTTGAGTTATATGATGTATTTGATTTCCGTATTTTTCAAAAATATATATACTTTTACACCATGTTATCAAAATATTCATAATCACATGATTTTGAGCAAGTGCACAATGTTTTAAGGCAGACTTTCTAAACAAAGAAAGAGCATAGCATGAACAACAAAATGCTACTGTACACAATCAAGAGAAGGGAAGAGAGAGTGGAAGAGAGAGAGGGAGAGAGAGAGAGAGAGAGTGAGAGAGAGAGAGAGATTAACAACAAAGAAAATAGAAAATATTTGAGGAATGACACATAAAAGAAAAAAGAAAGAAAGGAAAGCTGTCAACTATACAATATGGAACTGTGGCAGTAATGCTTTTATACAAAGTAATTAACAAACAACTTAATTCGTATTTCAAAAAAAATAATGATATTGCATTTACAGTGTAAACAACATACGTCACCCTTCAAATATTGGGAAGTTATGTTTACAGTTAAGATATTGCCAGGGAGAGTGAGATAAATACAAGAGCAGGTAACAATCAATAAGTTAGATATGAGACATTTAATATAGAATAACCATAGACATATATAAGTGCCGATGGAAAAGTGGAAGATAATAATATGTGAATTACAAATCCAAATACTCCATTTTATTTCAAACTATTGCTTTATGAACACTTGGCATACACAGCCATTTAATTTCACCCTCAAGTCTATGATACCCACAACCGACCTGCTTTCTAAAATATGTCAAACAAAATAGTGATAAAAAAAAGAAACAATAGTAATACCAATTCATGAACACAAGAAAAGGCAAGAAATCAAGATGAAATAGCTCAACACGATCGCTGCCACTTATGAAAAGTTCAATTCAAGGGCAATTTCAGTACCCTACTGTATATCCTATAGGAATCATGTTCAGATAATATAATACATCTTTGTAATGTTCGCACATTTTTAAATTGCATTAGGTTGATTTTTTAAAAGTAGTTACGATCATGTGTTTTTTTTAAAAAGAAGTATGTATGTGCTAGGATCATTTATATCTTAATAGCCAAAAATAATTTTAACCCTTTTGAAAGCATCATTGATGTTTAAAAGATGAGAAGAAAAAAAAAATTGAATTTAAAAGTAAGTTCATAATCAAAATAAAAACACCCCTCCATCCATTCAATATTGCCTTCAGAGGTTTAGAGGGCAATACGTCAACCTAAATTTGCCCGAAAAAAAAGCAGAAATATATGCCCAAATGTTCAATGATGAAGTGCATTTACGATATCTATCCAGGTCGGATTGATATGATAATTTACCAAATATATCAATTAGTAGGCGGTTTCCCGGCAAAATTTGTATCATCACGTATTAGAATATTCTTTCACATGATTGGTAATAAGAGCGTCCATTTCATTTATTGAGAGGGGGACGTTTCCAAAACCGGTCTACCTTTAAATACAAATGTTCAAACTTTTGCATAAGAGTCAAGAAAGATCGTGGAATTACATGATATTCACAAAAATAGATGAAGATTCTGACAGAAATGAGTGGACCAAGTACTTATTCAACTGCTAGATCAAATAAACTAAAAGAAATCTGGTAAATTTATATTAAAAAGCAAAATATCCCCTTTGCCTGGTAATTTCCTAAGAGAGTAACTTTGGTTTTAACATCAATATCTATCAGTGAATAGGCCATTTTCATAATGTAATCAAGTTAAATGCACAAATATTCATTAAGTAATTATTTCATTCACTTGTTATGACTAATTGTATTTTAACAGTCAGAATGCCAATTGCATACAATGCGTGTTGTTAGGTAGGAAAACCCATAATGTTTGTTCTACCTAGCAACAACTGATGTATGTAATTATAATGCTAGTCTTCGTGTACATGGACCTTGTTCAAAATACACTGAAAATTGAAACTACAGGTTCCACGTTGGATAATAATATGCCTTACAAAAGACATGACTGGTGTGCTTATAATTCCTGAACCTTGTTAAGTTCAACGATTTCTTTTGTTTCAATCTAGTTTCTTTCTTCAGCCATTTGATGAAAATATAAGTTTTCCACTTGGGAAATCAAATTTTGTCACTTATTTACAAAATGAGTTTCATAATTATCCAATATTTCATGAATTTAAGTACATTGTGTTTTCTACAATTTAATTACATGATCATTTCACTTGTTTCAATTATATATTCCCCAAATAATCATTAATGTTCTTCATAAGTTAATCTATGTAATGAAAACATGGTTGATGACCTTTACTCAGAATTAGCAATGGACTCAATGGAAAATAAACGACAATCAGTTCTATTCTGCTCCCTAAAATAGCAGACTTAGTTACCTTTGTCATATGGTATCACAACTGAATTCAACATTCCCAGAAGCATAAGGATATCTATATTTAACATCAGACTTTTCTAATGTGCTGTTATTAGATTCATGTCTGCATTTAATCAAGGAAAAGGTGCAAAAGTGCATTTTGCATAGAAAGAAATCTGTTTGTTCTTCCTAGTTTCTACATGGCAAATGATCTAATAAATTGTAAATTAACTCTTGCACAGCTGGAATCTAAGTAGATCTCCTCAGGTATCCTACTTGGGTCTAGGCTACTTCCTAAAACCATTGTCTGTGTTTTTGTTCCTTGGCATAATATAATAGTGCAACTCTTTCTTAATGGATCGTACACCTCACATTTATTAGAGGCTGATACACTGTCATCATAGACAACCAGGACAGTGCAATGTTCCATTCTCTCGTCATATGCAGCATTGTATGACACTTCTACCAATACCAAAGAAATGTTCCCCCTTCCTGCACCCTCTCCTTGAGAATGCCTCCATAAGGCTTCCTCACTTATTAGGGCAGCTTGCAGATTAGACCTCATCACACGACACTTCCTGGTATATCTAAACCATTCTCATACCACCCGCATCACATTGCTTTGACCTAATACATATACATGCACGTTTGGTATTATGGTACTCGCAGGGTTACTGTAAATCTCAGCTACAGTATTCCACTCATCTTTGACAAAGGCAGTCCATTCTTTACAGTTCTACAAGGTGACTTCCCAAAGACATTTTCTCTAGAGTGTATCTGATTTTAGATTCTGCTGTTCCTTCGCTCCTCCTCCTCCTCCTCCCTCCGCCTCTCTCTTGGCAAGGGCTTTGGTGTAGATATCTTGTAGCTTAGATTGCACCTCTCCTAGTAGGGGTCTCTCGCTGGGTTCCCCTGCCCAGGAGGACTTCATCAGGTTCCAGCTGGCATCGTCAAACTGGGGACGCAGCCTCTCTGGCCTCACACCTTAAGAGAGAGAAATTGAGCACATTATCATATATGATTGAAATGATCGACTTGCCATGTTTTCATGACAATTTCGTTCAGCAGATCTTTCTATTATTGTACAAGCACCTTATAAATACCAAGTATTATTCTCAATATTTCGCATTGGAGTATTTGAATCAATTTACATGTTTATCCAGCAATGATTATTCTTTAAAATTCTCAATCAAAGGGGACCATTATGAATTCAATAGCATTCCATTGCTCAACTCCCCCCATGGTAATATCATGTCTTTTTATTTAAAGTTGCTCAAGCTTTGGTATATAGAGGGCAGCACACGGACGTGCGATACCTATACCATCTTGCAGATTTTTTTACGTACAGGAGCGTAATACCCATTGGCTCAGTGTTATGTAGTGATCGCCAACTTGCCAACTTTACGAGTGACCGAGTCTTGTTGTGCGCGCCCGGTTTATCCAGATGTTGGATTGACTGTTTGTAATTAAGTTTTGAAATATAGCCCATAGCATATGAGTCGATGATGGATAACATGTCTACAAAACAGTCATAAGAGAGTAACACATATGCATAATGGGAAAGGTCCAGGAAAGTTGCAAGGTCATTTTTTTATATACTGAACCTCATGACAAGACATTTGGGAATGTAGTGAAATTGGATTAAAAAGCATTTTGCTCACTGGAGGTGAATTCCCCTCCCCCCCCCCCCCCCCACAAAAAAAATTGTTCAAGCAAACAGAGAAACTGCACTCCTTTTCATTTTCCACAAAGTACACAGAAAAAAGCAACCACAAATATCCCCAAAACATGACCTCACCTTTCTTGACAGACGTCCATAGATGGTCTTTATTGGCACACTGTTCAAATGCCTGAGGAAGCTTTACATGCCCTGCACACACATACCACAGCAATATACCAAACGCATAGGTGTCCACGCTGTTATCGTACTTGCCAGAGAAGAGCTCTGGAGCCATGTGGATGGGTGTCCCTACGATGCTACCGCTCATCATGGCCTCGGGCTTGCAGAATCCTAGATCAGTGATCTTGCCTCGGTCATGCTTGTCCAACTGAAGGGGAAAGGGGTTGGGATACAGATAGTGGAAATATTTATCTTTTATTGTTGTCTGTATTAAATATTAAAGTGCTGTACCATAATCAGTGACTCCCTTAGATAAGCAATAGGGGTATATACCCTAGACCAGAGACGCTGACTAAGTTCTGATAAAAACCTTAGTATCAAGTAAACTTCTTGAAATTTTTAACCACTTATGTAAGGATAAAAACAAGAAGCATTTTATTCAACAGCAGAATTTCAAATGTAATTCTTTTTAAAAAATGTTAAACTGGCCTTTTACTGGGCATGACATATATATTTCACAGAAGAAAAATATGGTAATCCCTGTTCCCTTTTGCCATTTCATAAACAGACCCAAATACAATATACAGTAACAGTGGAATTCTTGGGTGGCAAAATGGCATCATGGCAAATTGGTAAGGGCTCTTGACTTTCATATGCGAGTCTCGGGTTCCATCGTCTCTTGTGCTTACATTCTTGGACATGGTGTCCAAGGACTCGAGTGTACTAAAATAGGGACCTGACCATTCTGGGGTTTTAAGAAAAGCAGGGCTTGCAGGAAGAGCAGCATTATTATTTACATGACTATCTTGGTTAAATAAGACCAAATTATTATTACTACTATTAGTCCACTTGGAGACCCAATATCGTTCACTTACCAGCACATTCTTGAGCTTGATATCCCTATGTACCAGCCCCAGACTGTGAAGGTACCTGACACCCTCAGCGACATCAAGAGCCACATGTAGCCTCTCAGGTAGTTCCATGTTAGCTTTGATAGCAGTATGAAGATCTCTTTGCATTCTCTCCATCAGAAGCAGCACAGCTGGGGAGCAACCCATCCCACCGTACCCGTGGTCGATCACGGAGCCAATCACAGCAACGATGCGGTCGTGTTCTGCAATGGACCTAAAGAGTGAGAGGTAGAACAATGTGTCAGACAGGAGGTCTTTGATTTTAATTCCATTGCTGAAAATTTAATATGAACTTCTAGTCTGAACTGGCAAATAAAGAATAAATGTACTTTACATCAAACCAATCAAATAAACTTTATTTTAAATTTTTTTTCTTGATAGAAATGAGTGATTTAAATTCAATTTCATATATGTACCAACCCTGCTAATGGCATAGGAGGTCTTCTTCAGGAAAGACCTGACAAACAATTCATAACTTTATGATCATAGCTGGAATAAATAAAGGAATAAATAACATATAGCCCTCATTTCTAACCATTCTTTAATTGTTAAGTAAGGAACAAAACAGTCACAATGTACAGTTGGTTGGGATAAATGCTCGTACATACACATTTTTGTACTGCAAATGAAGAATATTGAGTCATAGTTAGCCATGTGAGAAAAAAAAGTTACCAGTACTTCAAAGAACCTGTTGAAAATTATTAATCTATGCCTATACTTTGCACAGAATATATAACATATAGCCCTCATTTCTAACCATTCTTTGATTTTTAAGTACGTTACAATACTGTCGAAAAGTACAGTTGGTCGGGATAAATGCTCGTACACACAATTTTTTTGTACTGCGAATGAAGAATATTGAGTCATAATTAGCCTAATTAATGTGAAAAAAAAAGTTAGCAGTAGTTCAAAGAACCTGTTGAAAATGATTAATCTATGCCTCTACTTTGCACAGCATGCAATAGGCCCAATGCCAAAAACATGGCCACTAAGGCCACCCAACATATATTGTCCTTACAAAGGACAGCTGCAATAATTGTATAATGTAGGTTAATTAGAGATTGTGGTTGTTGTAGTCCTTCCCATAAGGAATCTAAGTTCGCTTATTATGTCTTTTCTGTACATTGTACATCTCATGTTTCAATTCTAATTATTTATAATATATTTTGGCAAGTTTATGGAGTCACTGTTCACACAAATGCTTCTTATTTAGAATTAAACTTTTACCCATCCATGTGTGCCTGGTTGATAATTGATGATGCTTTTTCTCTCAACTCTTGTGACTACTATGCTACGTTTTGTCTGCTGTGAGCCATAAGTACATAAATTCATATTTTAGCATACGTGTAACAGCAAATCAGTGAGACCATGCGATAAAGAAGTTTCTTTGGTTTCTCTCTCTAGTATTATTGTTTTTCTCTTCATAGAGTTACTACTGTCTTGATGAACCTGTGCACATATTGATTGAAACCTAAAATACAGTTAAATAAAAGATGAAAAAAATTAAACAATAAAGTAGCAAATACTTATTTTATGAGTATTATACTCATACTCATGGATTATCTTTTCATTTTTTTTGAAGATATTTTGTCATAAACTTGTGGAAATATTTACAAGTACACACAAATATATGGATACACATTAAAGGGACTTGGTAACATTGTTCAGATGATAAAAAGTGGTGCTAAGGTAGTGACTTCAATGCTAGATGTACAATTAAAGATAATCTGAAAATTTGAGTGAAAACAGACCATTATTAATGATACAAATTGGGAAAAACTGATCTAATCGATTCCTTAATTCTCCCAACTATATTATTACAATTTAATTACATTTTAAGTGAATGTAAATCATCACAAAGCAATAAATTGGCTCTACATACCATTCCAGACAAATTAAGTGTTGAAAGATTTTTAATAGCCTCTTTAATGTCTTTTTTTCATGGAAAAACGGTTGGGAAAATTCAAAAATGGTTGGGAGAATTCATACTGTTCATCACTGTTAGAGGGTGTTGCACATTGACGCCTTCAATGAAAACCATAGATATCTTTGTGGTTTGAGATTTTTTTTCTCCAGGATTTTTCGCATGCCAGAGGGTGAGTACAGTAGAAGGAATATAATACCGGTAAGTAACATTTTATACAAAAATTAAGCAATTTTTTCATCAACCTTCAACAGTGTTACTGAGTCACTTTAAAAATCATAAGGGGTCCGGCCAAGCACCTCAATGCTTACATGTAGATCAACTGGGATTTGAGGGCCCCCAAGTTGATTTTTGGTGCCAAGGTATCCAGGTGCTCATTAATGTCAAGCCTACTGTATCATATACTAGGATTAATACACTTCTGACTCTCAGAAAATGATGTACATGTAATTATAGGAATACTCACAACATCAATCGGAAAGAGAGAATGCTGAATTCTAACAAATAAACCTTGGGCATTATATCATGAAGCTAGTCAGAGGTGAATAATATGTTATCAGATTACAAGGTGAAAAAAGATATTAGTGAATCTATGACTAGACTTCTTTACCAGTATACACACAACACAATAGAGAATGGGCTGTTACCGGGTAAGTGTTTTTTGTTTTGTTTTGTTTCATTTTTCTATTCCTCCATTTATGTATTTTTGTTTTTATCATTGTTCTTGTTATTTTATTTTAGTATCATTAATATTAATATAATTCATCACTTTTCTTCTTTTTTTTCTAGGGGGGGGGGGGGGTTTAATTGTAATAAGGTTATTAAGATATTAGGTAATATAAGTAGAAAATAAGCCGGAGCAAACATAATTGAAGATACATGTACCAGGGCACTTGAATATATATGGTAAACATTTTTAGTAAAAACAGACTACACAAATAGGCCAAAGTGGACAGAAAAGCAGACATCTGAAAAAGGAATATCAATACTACATACAGATGAACCAACTCCAATTGCATTCCTTTAGGAAATCCTACAGGATAGCTAGAGATTGAGATTCTCTTCATGAATCACTCAACCACATTGTGAACCAGATGCCATTTCCTAAACCCCTCTTATGGCAGTCTACTTGACAGTATGGATTACTCATCAGTAAAACCATCCCAAAATAGATTGCAGACCAAGAATCATGCTACCTGATATTCTAGATATATCTTCTGCCTCTGCAGGGTGTATGTAAAAGCACAAAAAAATTGCTCACAGGAAATGAATCCAAATCACAGAAAATGTCTAAATTCCACAAATGCACCCCCCCCCCTCCCCTTGCTAACCCTTCTCCAAAAGAAGAATATTGTAAAATGCTCACTTTGCTACATGAAAAGAGAAGGCTCATAGGAAATAAATCTCAAATACACTAAATTTCCATAGATCCCCCAATACTAAATTGGGATAATGTTAACATGCACAGCCGGTGCCTGGTGAAAGAGAACAACATGAAAAGATTGCAGTTTGAATGTACATTTCTTAAATGTTTTCCCATATTCTTATGAGTATACAATAAATAATTGTATTGAACTCAAAAACAAGAATGGATACAGACATAAATAAAGATACATTTAACGATCTAGAAATATATATAATTGAAATACATGTATATCGTCAATAAAATATGTCAATTAATAGATAATTAGACAGATTTCTTTAAATTTCAACAAACAAACATAAAACAAGAAAAGACAAAGATACAAATAAACGCACATTACCTTGTGTAGTGGAATTCCATGGCCAAGTCATTCCAGTGTTTGTCATCTGGAGGTACCACAGACTTGACAGCACAGTGGGTCACCCCACCCCAAGATCGACACGAGTACACCACCCCATACTGACCACGCCCAATCTCTCGCTCCAATTTCGGCATTCCTGTAAACAAAGAGCAAATATAGATTATCATATGTAGAGGGTGAAGTAGTCACTCAATTTGATATGTCATTGGCCTGTTGGTCAAATGATTCTCAGTTGAGTTTCTGTGGTGGTATTAATGTCCTTTGGTAATACATTGATCTACTATTCCCTCTCTCTACCCAGGTGTAGTACATGGGCACCTGGTGGGATGTTATTTTGTGGGTGCTCTTTGTGCCTTGGGGCAGCGGTTCGAGTCCCGCCGAGGCACTAATGTCCTTTGGCAAGACATTGATCTACATTTGCCACACTCAACCCAGGTGATGTAAATGGGTACCTGGCAGGAATCAATTCCTTGATATGCTTGTGTGCCGCAGTGGCTGCCTTGCTAAAGCCAGTGTAATAATCGGGGCAGCGCCAGGAGCATCACAACGTGACGGACTTGTGCGCTATATAAGAAGGCGCCATTATTATTATTATTATTATATCTAGTCAGGATACTAGAAGTACTTTGTAGGTGATTGAGTAAATATAAATGGATTTACTATTATTGTTATTTAAAACAAATAATACTTTATCAGTGCTGAGCATATGGCCCTAAAATCACAAGGAAGGGGGATATGAAGTTATGAAAAGTTTGTTTCGTACTGAATAAACACAAAACCATTTCAATGATTTCACTGAGTCACATAATTATTGCGTGGTTGAAACATTTAGCACATTTGAAAAAGCAGATGATTCCACCTTAAGAATTTTATCAGCAGTAGATAAAGATTGGAATTTAGCACGAAGCATCGTGCATGTGATTCCTTAGAAATGAATGTGCTCTGGAATAAAAACAACTACAAGTATAAATAGAGTTCTATCCACTTTAGTGTACAAAACAACAACATTGTATGAACCCTTGATGCAAAGAGGCTACTTGAGGGTACTTCTGTTAATATTCTAGAGGAAATAACAGGAAATACTCTCTACATTGTACTTTATTATTGATAACCGGAACTAAACAACAACCCTCTCCCCGCATTCTGGAAACTGTCATATAAAAGCTCAGGAATAAAGAAAATAATCATGTAGATTGTGGGCACTTCTGTGAACATACAGTGGTAATGGCATGAAATAATCTCTGCATTTTGCTTTGTTAAAAAAGGAACATAACAAAAGCAAGGAAACATTTCCCGGCATTCTAGAAACTTTCATACATATACAGTATAAGCAAAGGGTCCATAAAAAAAGTATATACTGTTATTATCACAATTCAAATAATCAATAAGAAACCAAAAGACACACAAGACAATCAAAAAGAGAGTGAGAAGGGGCAAGGGCAGAGCAAAAAAAAAAACAGTGAGATATAGAAAAGAAAACAGACAAAGAGCAAGTGAGCTCAAGGTTCAGAGAAACAAAGATAAAGTGATGAGAACAGCAGCAGACAAAACAATTGTAATATATATATATATATATATATATATATCTATATATATATATATATATATATATATAGTATATAGTTATTGTGCTCTTTAGCACAAAAGAAACAAAACAGAGCTGTCTGAATTCCCCAAAAGTACATACAGTCTACAGTCATGATATTGTGGTTTTATGTGGGATTCCAAATGCACAAAGAAAAATGGAAAGTCACTAAAATGTACAAATGAATTCCCTGAAATTTAATTACATATAAAAAAAAAAATGAAAAAAAAGAAAAGAAGAAAAAAGAGAAAGAAAGAGAAGAAACCATGTTGTGTGTATTGCTTATTGAATGCTCAGCATGGATTCATATCAACAACACTGACATTACTGATAATACGTGTACATGTAATCAAGGCCCTTTCTTAGCCTGCACAAACAAACATTTTATGAAATCAGAAATGTCAATCCATCCATTTTACAATTACAATTTGAGAGTGAAATCATAAAGTACTATGATTGTGTGCAGCAAAATATATGCCCATCAAAGGAATGTTTGTTTCGTTGTTGTTGTTTTAACCATTCAGTGTTCATATGAAGCCTGCAGGCATTTGGTTGGTCTATAATGAAATAAAGTGCAAAATTGAAGACTACAGAAGTATCATCAGGAAGGTAATAGCACTGTGACTCATTCATTATACAGAGGTGGAGTATCATGTAGAATTAGGCATGGTTGGAAATGTTATGGACCTGTTGTCTGGATTTTTACAACACTAATTTCCACCCAAGGGGTCTTGAAAAGGAGTCTGTGAGATATAAGAAACAGAATTTAGACATACATACATTTGAAACACAGTGTACAGGTACATGTATGTTCAAAACATTAATAGAACATACAACAAAGGCCCAAGCATACTCACTTGTCTGTGTATTATGAAGTACAAGACCCTTAACCCTATTTTAACTGGGCTATTTCAGACCAAGTTTTTACGGGGGGGGGGGGGGTCAATTTGACCCCCCCTAAGATCTCGGCCGTTTCACCGCCGATCGACGCGAAAATTTGCATGCATGTCAAGTGAAGTGTATAGATTACTATGGTAACTTCAAATTTTTGAAAAATTCACTCATTTGCATATTTATGGTAATTTATGCAAATAAGGTCATTAAATTCACATTTCTGCCCATAAATCATAGATTATTCATGTTTACGTATTCTTTTTCACTACATATATTTATTAGACCATTTGGAATAATAATACAACACAAAAAATTGGAAGAGCCAGGTTATTCCTTATGTTATCTCTTGTTTTTATAATTTCTTATGTATTTCATTGTTTTTTTAACTTATGTAATTTATTGTTTTTGTTGTTTTATTTCATTTATAACTACAATTCAACTATTTTGACCCAAAACAAACATCTAAACTTTAACCAAGACTGAATAACCAATGTTTTATCTATTTTTAGGAAAAATGACTTTTACAAATGTTTTGTACACAAATCACGAAAATGAGCGATTTTCGGGCTGACATGCAAAGACAAAAGGTCACATGACCTTGTAACCGTAGGTCCGATTTTCGAAAAAATTGTTTTAAAAGATGCGTAAGACTCGAAAGTAAAAAGTCATGGAAGTAAAAGTTTATATCTGCCGCGGTTTCGGAGTAGTCGCGAAATTTCTACAGGGGGGGTCAAATTGACCCCCCCCCCCCAGTTAACATAGGGTTAAGTATATATTTTTGTTGTTAATCCCCTGATTTAGAGCGGCATATGTGAAGAAGCCTTTAGAGAGTAATTCCTTACCATATAGAACCATATCCCTGAGTGAGGTACTCTCTAGAGCCAGACGGGCCAAGCGAGGGGCGTACACCTTCCTCACTTTCATTCGCTGTTCCTCTGTCTTCTCCAGGCGGCCCGAATGCTTCTGCTCTAGTTGACGTAGAGACGTGGAGAAGGACTCATGGGAGTTGTTAAGTCTTGATCGAAACTGCACAAGGACAGATCATAAGATGAGTTGTTAATTGCTAGGATATGACATACCTAAAGGTCTTTGACTTTATTGTATATGTCATATTTATGACATACACTTGACATTAAATTCCCCCCACTTACACGAATCTATCACACACACACACACTTTTAAATGTTACATGATGATAAACATTTGCTATATGGATGCACCACATTTAAAAAATTAATCCTGTAAAGTCTGGAAAGACTTTTACTTTTTCATTGTTTTAATTTTTGATTAAAACCAGACCAAAACATTTTCCAACCAAAACAAAAATGTTGATATAACAAGTGGGGGAAAAAACATGTTTGAAACAATAGACATTCAAATGACTTTGTCATTGTTTTCAGAAACCAAGAAGGCAACACAAGTCATTGCTGTCTCAGGTATTGATTCAACCCAAGGTTAATTCACATATAACATCAAGGCAAACTCTGGATGAATGATGCAATTGAAACAGTGTAATCCCACACACCACAGAGTCAAAACACAGATTGCAATTTCATTTCATCATGACTCCTGGCAAAAACGTTTTGGAGATGATATTCTTCCATTTCTCTAGTCTTTGTTTCAATACTTTTCATCTTATTGTTTGTTTTATATCTTATGACATCGTAAAGAAAAGTGATTTTGGAAATGGCTGAATACTTAGCTCATATAAAATGTCCTGCATAGCATGGCTACAGAACTATTAATTGGTACTTGAAAGAAGTTTCTATAGTTCTAAGGTAAGAAAAGTTCATAATGTCCAACACTTGCCACACGATACCTTCCATCATCATGTACTTCTCATAAAAAGTTTTCAGTTTTATTGGATTATATTTTCATTGTCCAATAATGGCTGTTGTTTAATGTTTTTCCTTCAAGTGAGAGCACATGATGTTATTCCCTTACTTCCTATTCCTTCAAAATGTGCCAAATGAGCCGCCCACACTCTAATCCATCCCATCTATAATACCTGGGGGGTGTTTCACAAAGACTAAGATTGACTTTAGGTTGGACTTAACTATGGCAGGCTGTTCATGCCACTATTTTCTCTCACCATTTACTGGCATTGGTCTCTCAAGGGAAGTACAAAACATGGTCACATATCTACAGAATTTACATTTTTTGATAGTTTATCATTGAAGGAATAAATATTTATCTTGAGATTATAATGGTGAGAGCAAACAGTGGCATGAACGGCCTGCCACAGTTAAGTCTAACTTAAAGTCGATCTTAGTCTTTGTGAAACACTCCCCAGTACCTATTACCTCTTTCATAAACCTCCGTACAAGAATTACTAGGAATTTATGACTGGAACCTCATAAAAAGAAAAACCCAAACATTCATTTTAGTGCTGCTATCATGTGTACAAAATAGCGGCATCTTCCTGGAATTTCAGGGTTTATAAACAGCTAGAGAACACATGTTTGGTCTACACACCTATGATCAAAGGGCACTTGATATCCCACTCGATGCAGGGCTTGTAAATAGGTGCTTGTAAAATCCATGCTTCTGTTATGCAGCTTTTTCACATTTGTAAAGACACAACTTTTATTGCTTATTTAATGTGCATCATTGTAGTGCGCATACAGGCAAACCTGTCTCAATGACCACCTCCTTATAAGGGCCAACCGTCTACAGTAGTCACTATATAACCTCCCTCAGAAAGAAATGTGTGTTGAAGAACCTGTCTAGAAAGACCACCTGTCTACAGTGGCCACTTTTTGTGTTTCCATTTGGTGGCCTTAATAGACAGGTTTGACTGTACATCAGCATGTAAGAGGAGCATGTGTTTGTAAAATGGGATATATCATCTGTTTGGAGCCACAAAAGAGTTAATTATGTGTGAAAGTATAAGCGTTAATGCCTTAGTGGCTCCAATAAGTGTTTACCTGAGAGCAGATGCTTTTAGCGAGCTTGGACTCATCAAGATTGTTGATCATGGTCTGTGCCACCTTCCTCTTCCATTCTGTGTCCACCCTGGTGGGTGTCTTAAATGGCTTGATCGATTGGAAGAACTGGAATGCAGAGAGAGAGAGAGAGAGAGAGAGAAGAAAACAGCAGGACATGGTCATTATCACAATGAAGATATGAACTACATGTAACCCATTCCAAAAAAAAAGTAGACTTTCCAAAAAAGTCTAAAAAAATGGACCGTTTCATGCAATTTCAGATGGTCTAAAATAATACTTTTTCACTCAAATAGAACCAAATTTCTTGGGTTACAGAAAATAATGGTCCTTACCTTTGTCGTTATAGAATATTGTTCTTGCAAGTATCCATCAAAGGTTCGTCGATTGCCACACTTTGATCTGTACAAGGTTTGTCGATTGCCACACTTTATTCTTACCAACGTTCGTCGATCGCCGCACTTTACTTTGACCAAGGTTCGTCGATTGCCACACCTTGATCTGTCCAAGGTTTGTCGATCGCCACACTTTACTTTGACCAAGGTTCGTCGATTGCCACACTTTGATCTGTACAAGGTTCGTCGATTGCCACACTTTATTCTTACCAACGTTCGTCGATCGCCGCACTTTACTTTGACCAAGGTTCGTCGATTGCCACACTTTGATCTGTACAAGGTTCGTCGATTGCCACACTTTATTCTTACCAACGTTCGTCGATCGCCGCACTTTACTTTGACCAAGGTTCGTCGATTGCCACACCTTGATCTGTCCAAGGTTTGTCGATCGCCACACTTTACTTTGACCAAGGTTCGTTGATTGCCACACTTTGATCTGTACAAGGTTTGTCGATTGCCACACTTTATTCTTACCAAGGTTTGTCGATCGCCTCACTTTATACTTTGACCAAGGTTCGTCGATTGCCACACCTTGATCTGTCCAAGGTTTGTCGATCGCCACACTTTATTCTGACCAAGGTTCGTCGATAGCCACACTCTACTCTTACCAAGGTTCGTCGATCGCCACACTTTACTCTTACCAAGTTTCGTCGATTGCCACACCTTGAACTGTCCAAGGTTTGTCGATCGCCACACTTTATTATTACCAAGATTCGTCGATCGCCACCCTTTACTCTGTCCAAGGTTCGTCGATTGCCACACCTTGATCTTTCCAAGGTTTGTCGATCGCCTCACTTGACTATTACTAAGGTTCGTCGATCGCCACACTCTACTCTGACCAAGGTTTGTCGGTCGCCGCACTCTACTTTGACCAAGGCTTGTCGATCGCCACACTTGACTATAACTAAGGTTCGTCGATTGCCACACTTGACTATAACTAAGGTTCGTCGATTGCCACACTTCACTCTTATCAAGGTTCCTCATTCACCATACTTTACTCTTACGAAGGTTTGTCAAGAAAAAAAGTGTCCCCCCCCCCATAATAATAAAACATGTCTTAATTTGATACCAGTGTTTGAAAAAAAGGAGTATTTTTTTAGACTCTATAACTCAGATTCTACTTCATTTCAAGCCAAATTTCCTTCCCAGGTGTGCAACAGAATTGCAAAAGCTCATTTACTGTGCAGGGGCAGACACTCTTTCCCCTCCCCTCCAAACACACCTCCTGTCACTTGGTCTCTATGCTCCCTCGGGAATCGGTCTTGTCTGCATCTGGTATATCTTGTTTATGTTCATAAGTATATGTGGTGTTATGCTTTAAATGGGCATGAACATTAATTCTTGGCGTGCATATTTTGGTATAATTATGTTTTCTTCATGACAAAAGTTTAACTTGATCACAATCGGTAAAATCATTATGCACTTAACCACATATAACTGAATTGTAGGACCGGTATGGACCAGATTGCACATTATTAAGAAGAAAATGCAAAATCTCCCTATCGTGGGAGAGGGAGACACCGCTCAAACATCCTCGGACCCTGCCCTCACCCACCCCCCCCCCAACCCCCAACCCCCAGCTCAGTTGCTTCACTCCCTCACAAAGTCTCAAGCTCTAAGTTTGCAACCCTGCCAATCTTGCCATTATGCTATACCTGGTGATGAATGGATGAAGACTTTCTTCTGACCCCCAAAATTGTTTGCTCATTACAGCACTGTCAATGGCTATTAAGAATCATTGTAAATGTATAAATAATATGTGAACAGAAATACTGTATGTATTCAAAGTCAATACAATTGACATTATAAATATTGAAGATGCTTTAATTCAAGATCAATGAAGGCTACATACTGGTTATAACTTCCAGCCCATTTTTAACATATCATGGGTATGACAAATTGCAAAATATTTGTCGTGTGGAAATGTAATTTGTGAATGACATGAAAGAATCATTATTTAGGTACAAAACAATTGCATACAATTCATCGCGTGTGGAATAACAGACTATAACAAACTACAACCACTTTGTTTTATACATTTACCTACATGCACAATAATGCCTATAATTAGAATTACCCAAACCTATAGGAATTATGCTATGCAGTATATTTCATTCAGACAATTTATGACTATTCAATGCATATCGACACTGTGAACTTATTAAATATCATAAACGAACACATGCATTATATGCCGATAGGCCAAGTTTTGGAAACCATTCCCATCAAGACTCTGAAATCTCAATAAAATTGGTACAGCTTTTTGCATGGTATGTCTATAAACAATCACAATATTGAGAGCTTTTGAGATCAATGTTCAAGGTTGTCTTTGAACATCTTTGTCACTATATACAAGAGGCACGAATGCCAAGTGAGTGGCTGCACAAGATTATAATGTATATTTTAGTTTAGAAACTACATGTATTCTCTTCAAGGGATAGTTCAGTTTTGGTATAGAGGGCTCTACACAAAACCAGCCGCCATTTTCTTTGTTAATGCTTCCTCTTTTAAAAAGAGGTTTTTGTGAGATATTAACACTGATAACACTATCACTGCCTGAAATACAAGACTATCACTATCAGGCATTGACCCCATTACCTCCCCCCTAAAAAGATACTCTCCTTGTGTATATGCATGGTACTGTTGTTTTTTTAAAACTATGACAAAATAGCTAAATGGCCCTTTGAGAGCCTGAAACTTTTCAAAGATAAAGAATTAGACATCAGTTACAACTTTTTCTTGTAGCATGGACCTAGATTGACCTCCCATAGGCCATAGCTTAATAAAAAAAAATGTTGCTTTATATGCATGAGGTATCCCTGAGCAGCAAATTTGTTTACAGAATTTTGTAACAAAATTGACATACCATTTTGGTTTGAGCTGAAAAAAATATATAGCAACAAACAATTTGTTTTCTTCTTTCTATTGATGATTAATGAGCATGGGTGGATCTTAAAGAAAAATAACAGTAATCTGATTCAACTCCTGTATTTTAATGGAACAGAGCAATTGAAAATAGTGCTTCGGACGTTACATTTTCCGTAAACAATGTAGACCCTCATTTAACCCACTAGAACAATAAATTAATGAGATTGTATATGGTTTGAATGAGCTTATTAGTTACTCCAAGTGATTATATTGAAGGAAAATATAATTTAATTATAGTAGCGCTAATATGCGAAAAATACTCAAAATTTGAAAAAGTTGTCTCAAATTTTCTGTAAACAATTTTGTAACTTCCGAAACAACTTTGAATTTAAAGTAGTAGAAAATATATGAACTGCAGGACATATCTATCCTAACATTTTGTTAACATCACATGGCAGCTACCCACCAAAACAAAAAATTTGCAATACATTATTACAATACTATTTTATGGTTAAAACCAATTTTCCGCAATGTCCAAAGCAAAGAAACCCAATTAAATGATGATAATCCATATTTAAGGGTATCTAGAGTGAATAAATTGTTTTGAAATAAGTTATTATAAGTTTTAACACAAGTCAAATCACAAATCAGGCCTTTCAAATCAAATAATTTTTTGTAATCACAAGAAGGGTGTTTCCGATGTTACACAATGGTGGTTGCACAAATTCTTGATGATGAGCAGTGTCTGATTCATTGAATGAATATTCATCCACATGATGAGTGAAGAGATCGCCATGTTGTTTTCTAGCGCCAACTTGATGATTTTCAGAAGATACATCATCAAGACTCAATTGTGATATATCCATACCATCAATAGACAAATCGTCCTGACTGAGTGAAGTCGAGGGAGCAAATTTTTGCTTTTTCTTGGGAGTACTGGCAGCAATACATACTGGTGCTTCTGCTAGGTCTACATCATGCAGACTTAGTTGCAATAAATCTTGTAGTAACTCACTCATAAATACTGCCTGAATGAAAATCCATGTCATCGATAGACAGATCATGAATATGATTAATCCCTGCTGCTGTAGCCATGTTAGAGTCTTAGACTTGTTATATCTGACAATATAATGATTATTTTCAATCATGATATGATTGATTGATATTCACAGAGATTAAGTTTTTATAGTTTTTCAATGCAGTGAATGACTCCTGTCAGAAGGCCTATAATGTAGACTTTCTGCTTACTACATGCTCTACAGAAAATACTTCCACTATCCACCTCCCTGCACGATATATCATTGGCCAGAAGTACATCACCTCATCTGCAATGAGTTGGCAATGTAGGTTGATGCACTGTGTTGGTTTGGGAGTACGATTATGGTGTTTGCATTTGCTCTGTGTGCGTGTGCGTGTGTGTGTGTGTGTGTAAGTGTGTGGGAGCGCGTGCGAGTGAGTGGATGTATGTAAAACTTGTGGCAGGGGCATTATGACATTACGAAAAGCTCTCGTTGTACCCCACCACTATAGCACAGCAGTCAATGTAATCTGGTGGGATAGCACTACCCCAGTTTTGTTTCTCTCGTTAAAACTTTGAGAGAGCTACTACTATTACACAGGCATCAATGGAAATCTGATGGGGTCTCACTACCCAGTCAGACCGCAGCGCTCGCCAAATCGCCCGTATTTATTCAAGTCGTATGCACGTTTTTGCTCCTCATGAATACGTAATAAGCAAAAACATGGCACAGTTCTCATCTTTCTGCTATGCTCAGGATTCATATAATGACATTGAATTCGTCATGAATATTGAGCCATAACTATAGACATTATAATGTACTATTC